GGGATCTGAAGCAAATTCTTGTAAGGAAACCCTCAAATATAACAGACTTAAAGCAGTTTTATAAGGAAGAATGGATTGAAATCATTGCTGCTTAAAAATGTGCCACCAGTTGCTGAGGATTCACATACTTATTCACTTGAGGATATTTACTGTGTGATCATTTTGTTAAATAGGTTAATCATGTTATTTTAAGACTTTCATTAAAATCTAATTATGTTTTAGGTCTAAAACATACAAGAACATGGATCAGCCTAGGGGGTTCACTAATGTGTTCTCTGCACTGTATATGTAGCAACTACTTTCTTGAACTGAAAAATTAGATCCTGTTTACTCTTGAAAGAGCAGTATCAACATATGAGCTCTGAAGAACAGCCTTGTGCTTTTGTGCGATGAGAGAATGACTGGATCGCTTAAGAATATGGGGACTTGAGTGTTTTTGAATATCTGTGGTAAACCACAATACCTCCGTTTCATCCACATTTTCATGCTGTTTTGAAGTACCAGTTTTCTTTTCTAGAAATGCATGCTTGATTATGCATTTCAGAAGACCTAGGCTTTGTTTTCAGCTAACTGTTTTTTTTTTGTGATTTTTATGTTTTATAGGTTCAGTATGGTGCCTATGCAGGAGTAGGTGGCATTGGCTCTGTTGTCAAATTAATGTTCGCAGGCATGCTTTTCTGGTTCTTGGCCAAGTTCAGTTTTGGAAGAAATCTTCTGATTAAGGTAGGTTCCTTCTGTTTATTTACATTGTTTGAAATATGCAGTGTCTTGCAAAGGTATTCACCTCCTTCCAATGGAATTTCCTATTTTGTTGAGTTATATGATGGCAGATAATTTCAAGTGGCATGAAATGTCAGTAAGTTAATATTTTAGTCACTACAGAGCAGGCCTGTCTGTGACAGAGTGGCAAACTCGCCTATTATCCCACATTAACTTTGTAATAAAGCATTCAAGTGTAACCACAAACATTTTTGTGATCAGAGGAGACAAAATTGGAACTTTTTCATTTGCTTTTTGGGCTCCAGGAAGGTTGTGGTTTCAAGTCATGAGCTGCATAAATGAATGGAAATGCAAGTTTCTTTGAATAAAAGCATCAGACAAATTAGTAATAATAAATGCAAAGCATAACCATAGTGGTGCAGAGGTTAGCATTGCTGCCTCACAGCATTGGGGCCCAGGGTTCAATTACTGGGGTGCTGTGTGGAGTTTATAAGTTCTCTCCATGTACAGTAGATGTGGGTTTCTTCCAGGTACTCAAGTTTGTTCCCACAGTCCAAAGATATACTGTACTGGTATGTTAATTGGATTCTGGGGAAACTGGCCCTGGCGTGATTGTGTTTTGACTCCCCCGAATTGGATAAAACATTTAGAAAATGGATAGATGCAAACCATTACATCTGGTGCAAACCCAACACAGGGCACCACTCGTTCAACTGACAGGCATGGTGGTGGCAGCATTATGTTGAAGCTTCTCAACAGCTGGACTGGGAAGCTTGTCAACACAGATGGTAACTGACAAATCTTAGAGTAAACCTGCTTTAGTGTGTTAAAGACCTAAAACTTGGATTAATTTACCTCTGAACAGGACAATGACCAAAGCACAAGGTCAAAGCTACACTGCAGTGGCTTAACAATGTGACATTGAATGTTTTTGAGTGGACCAGTCCAAGTCCTGATCTGAATCCAATAATAAAAGCTGTGGAAAGACTTGAAAATTGCTGTCTGTCAACGTTTCTTAATTGCCTTAACAGAAAGTGAGCAGGTTTGAGCATTCTTATATCTACAAAGTTTGTAGACGCTTATCCCAAAAGACCTGCAGCTGTACAGTAATTGCTATGAAAGGTGCTATAACCGCAGAGAGAGAAATACCTTAACAGTCAACTTGTTGTTTGGATTTTCTTTGTAATTTTTGCTGTCATTTAACTTCTTCCATTCATGAAAGTGTACTGTTTTGAGGATTAAGGTTTTGATTAAAAACATTTGCTTCAAAGTGTGTATATGTGTATGAATGGGGTGTCATTGAAAGGGGGTGAATACATTTGCAATATACTCTATTACTTTCTACTTTGAGTTCTAAATGAGTATTTCAGTTGTTGGGGTTTTCCTATTATTTTCCCCACCAATAGCTATCATATTTCAGAACTAGTAGCCCTGTGGCAGTATTTCTATCCAGTAATAATACTTTCCATTTTTGGAAAAATACACTGATCTCTTCTAAAATTACTAGCCAGTATCTTATGTTATCTTTTATTTTAGTTTTGCTTGTAATGAAACATACTTTACTAATTGTTCTGTGTTGTTTTTTTTTCAGTTTCCTGAATTTTTCTCCTTTGGAGTTTTCTCTAAGGAGGGGCCAACAAAAAAGCAGGTAGTTAATTTTTTGTTATCCAAGAGATGTAAATCAAAATTCAGTTTATAGAAAATGCAAATTCTGAGAGGCTTGTTTCTGAAATGTGGGGTACACTGGTGTTCAGTTCAGTATCCAGCTGATGTTTCTGTCATCTTCAGATGGAGGGATCTTCGTTTTGCTTTTCCTTCATTGGTGAGGGATACACTGAGGACCAAGATCCTGAACAGGGCAAACCTAATTCCAAGATCCGGATTCAAGTAAAAGGACCAGGTACCCCATTCTGTGTAGTGTTAAACCTAACTACTATAGTTACATTTATTAGGGAAAGTTCATTTTGAGCAATGGTTTAAACATTTCTGAGATTTATTTTGTACTTAATGCTGTTTATTAGATAAACATAACCATTGATTTCTATATTATTAGAAAGTGAACCATGTTAGAGACTGTTGCTGTAATAGCCACATTAATGAGTATACTGAACATTAGAAGAAACATCAGTCTTTGTGTGTATCTTTTAAATTAAGAATAGTCCCTGAAGCATTTGCGATGTGATGCAAGTCAAGCCTCAAAGATGTATATTACTTTAAATCACATTGATACAATTTAAATACTGTAAAGACTTTTACCTACATCACATCTAATCAATGAAGAATGTTATAAAGATGGCATTTTTCTGGTCATAAATTTGTGAATATAACTTTGCTATTATAAGTGATATTTTTTTCAGTTCTCTGTATATTTCTGCTGTTTTCATTAATGTATAAGTCAGGCTTTCCCAGTTTGTTTTAAAGGGACAGATTTGCTTCATATTACTTTGTGTTTTACAGAGGCAGGGTATGTTGCTACTCCTATTGCAATGGTGCAAGCAGCCATAACACTGTTGAATGAGCCCAAATCCTTACCAAAAAAGTGAGTCTGCATGTCACCCTGATTTTAAAACCAAGCCGAATGGCTTTCAATTTTACTTGCAATCCACTGGCTGAAACCGGTGCATTTGGGACCTTCGAGGAGTCAAGCCAAGTGGCCGGTTGCTGTTATTGTTTTTTATGAGGTTCTTAGTTCATTTATTTCTGGTTGAATATGGGGAAGGGTTAGTCATTGATCAGAAAATAAATAAGATAATTACAATCTGCATGTACCTAATTACTGTAATTTGTAATAACTGCATCTTAATATTACTTTTCTTTTGCTGGATTCACAGGGGTGGAGTGTACTCTCCTGGAGCTGCCTTTTCAAAGACCAATCTGATTGAACGACTGAACAAGCATGGAATTCAGTTTGTAGTTGTTGGCACAGCTGAGGCCTAAGGATCCACAATGCCAGCTTCCTTCATTCTGTGGTGTCACAATGTAGAACACACTGTGCATTTACCCTTTCCCCAGTCTTCAAAATTGCTTATCCATACTTGCAAAACATAGAAGTTAATAAACACACAAGTAGCATTGACTAATTGCCTGTCTTGCATTCCATAATAAAATGGAAAACTCCATGGAAAACTGTTGCTAAAAAGAGCTTCAGTTTCATGGTTATTAAGTGTTGACTATGTTGGATAAAAAAAGCTGTTTAGTCTTCAGTCTGCTTGAAAGCTTATTTGAATAATGATGAATTTCAAACATCTGTGTATAACTTGTATTCCTGTTTGAAACAATGCAGTAAAGTATTTCAAATTTGTAGCTTCATTATTTATCTTTTTTTCCCTTAAACTTCATGTTCAGTGTCCAGTAGCATTAGCTCCCCGTTTAAGTTTTGATGAGCATTGTCAATATGGTCTATATGAGGCCTTTAATTGGCAAGCAGGATTATTGGACATCTGTATTTACTGGTCACTATCTCCATGTTGAGTCATTATACTGTACTTTTTGTTTTAGAATTGAAACCCCAAATTAATGCCAAACAGCTTAAAAAGGAAACTCTGCTCAATTCCTGCAGAACCTATTATTTAAGAGTTATTTTTATGGGAATAAAAGTTCAATTACATTATTTTCTTATCCCATGATTAAAACAGGTTTAATATTGGAATACAATGTTCATGTTGGGAGAAAAGTATTTCTCTTGTGTCTGAATGGGAACACAAGCTAGTATATTTTAAAAACAACTGAAGCACTAAACTGAACAGACAGTATTAAGCACTTCTGCATCATGTTTGCTTTGAAAGTGGTATTTTTCGTCTCATAAATACATTGGGATTCTGCATGTGTAGGTTTGCTGCTATATACCTAGTATTGCACTTTTGATTTTGGGTTGTCTTCCAACCAAATAAAAATGCTGTTTCCATCCCAGAAAGAGCTAGAGAACTCTTCATTGCACGAGGTGTCAGAAAAATAGTTTTTAATAATAATAATTGCTTACACTTATATAGCGCTTTTCTGGACACTCCACTCAAAGCGTTTTACAGGTAATGGGGATTCCCCTCCACCACCACGAATGTGCAGCATCCACCTTCAGAGTTTTGAACTATTGTCACATTTAAACCTCCACTTTATTCTTATGTGCTATGACAAACATCTCATTTACATACATGAGATGCCTACAGTATATTGCATGGCTTTAAAAATGGCCAGCTTTAGAATACATATATCTGTTTATTAAAAAGTACAAAATCAGGGGGAAATTTGGTATAAGTAATTTACTTATGGTAAAATCTCAGAGGGTTTTTTAATGCTTTATATTAATAGAAATGACAAGGGTTGATGCACTTGTTTTTAGACTGGTATCTATTTACAATAATGTGATCAGGCTTATAACATTTCTACTGCTGTACCATTGATTTCCTACTAAAAATCATTTGTATGATTTGTGTAAATTGACCAAGCACTGGTTTCTGTGCAGAGGTCTGCAGCGTGTGTGATAATGGCTAGAAATGGTCTGAACTAAAATACAATAAGTATCTGAGTTGTGAAGAGGGAAATAAAAGTGTTATTGCACTTATTGTAGGATGGATGGCGTCCGAGACAAGTTTTACCAATCACATTGAGAAGGCTGAAGCTGATTCTGTCTTTTCTTTTGATGAGATCCTTGGATCAATACAAATGATTACCAGCTGAGCAATCAAGTGAGCAGGATGTACCTATTTGCATTCATGTATTCTAAGAGCCACTTAAATACAAACTGTAAGAAAGTTCAGCGATCACCATATCCCAGACTTTTCACGCTTCCTCTTCACTATAGCGGCCACATCCTGCTTCAGTGTGTTGACACAGCATTCCAACTGTTCTGAAAAGTCCTTCAGCATGTTTGCCTGCTCCTCTGTAAACCTTTGCAGCTTCAGCACGTCTTGATCAGCCTATACAAGTGAGAGGAACAAAGTTTTGTCATTTACATCTGTGCAAACAGGGGCTGAAGATTTGACAGAATGTGCTTTCAAAATTGCTGCACTATTGTTAAAATTCATATTCAGGTCAGTGTCCAGCATCCATTTTCTATCTGCTTCATCCACTACGGTGTTGTGTGAGAGCTGGAGCCTATCCCATCAAGCAGTGGCCATTAGGGAGGATACACCCTGGATTTGATGCCAGTACATCACAGGGCAGGCACAGACAGGCACACAGTCACACCAGCGCTGATTTATCCAGAAGCCAATTAAGTTTTAGTAGGTCTTTGGACTGTGGGAGGAAACCACAGAACCAGAGGAAACAGAATATTTGATTACTAAAAGTTAACTAATACATATATATTTTTAACTATTTAAAAAGACTTTCATATGGCAGACATTTTTAAAAACAATTTAGACGCTGCACAAACAAAATCCAGCATTTCACAAAATAATGGTAACGTACGTCAGGCCTGTGGCGTCTCAGTCTCTGGAGCTGTCCCCTCACAGAGTTCATACTCTGATAGAAGACTTTGAGGGCTCTTGCAAATTCAGCATCACAGCTTGTTCTCAGACTGCCTCTTCTCTCTGACTTCGTGACCAAGGCAGGATGTGAGGCACTAAGTCTGCGATTGGGGAATTCGCTATTTTGCTTTGCTTCTGTGTCAGAAAGATGTTAAAAGACGTGGTGGTATTAACGTTATTATAAATATATCCCCCCAAAAATTCTAAAATTGTATTCTAACTGAATTACATTTAAGTAAAAAAGGTACTAGAAGTCATTTAAACCTATATAAGTAGATCTCAGTTTGAAAAAGTGATTGTTCTAGTTCACAGTATGTTAAGGTTATACTTCCTAATTTTATAAACTTCCAAGCTTGATTAAAAACTAAGGTTTGTGGGAATGTGATTATGTGGATATTTCTTTTCTGACAGCTTACCTTCATTGACAGCAGTGTTTAATTTGTCTCTAAGTGTGCTATTTTCCCTTCTTAAACTTTCATTGGCAATCCTCAGGTGCTGAATCTCCTCTTCCAACTTAATGAGTTTGGAGTACGGTTTACTTAGATCACTTTCATTAAATTCCTATGAATATACAAATGTATATGTAAAACAATATGTCCTTACTAGAGCATGCAGTCATTTGTATAACAAAAATGGTTTTCAGACATTCTCTAGAGAGCTTTTTAAATATGTTAATTCACAGCTTTTGACTAAATACTTTAAATAAATCCAGTTTCCAAATTTACCTGTAAATTTTCAGTTCGGTAAACTTTTATTCTTGTTTTTTATATTTTTCTAGAAAGTAACTTCACCATTCCTTCCCTTCTGAAAACACTGTGGTTTGTGCAAGCCTTAGGTGCCATGCTAGCAAAGTCAAAAGGCCTGAGCACTGCTTTTAATAGACACCGTGTTTGGTTTCTATCATCCACAGTTATGTCCAAAGAAAGCAGTAAAAAAAGAAACAACAAGCATGCCTTTCTATTTTAAGATGCTTACAACACGAGAAAATTGTAAAGCTCACATCACTGCCAACCAGCATGTGGGACAAAATGTGTGCTTGTACTTACTGCAGTGCTCTCTGAAGACCTCACATCACCAATGACAATGCTACCTTCCTCAGTAAGGACTACATTTTCCAGAGAGCAATTCTTCTCTGTGCAGCCCACTGTGTAGATTATAAAGGTTTGTTACAGTTCCATGTTGTAGATTTTATATAATGGTTAATTCTCTGACTGCTTTAAGGCACTGATCTACCTAAAGTAGCAACATTACTGCCTGCTGCAGAAGCTTATTGCCCTTTTTCCTGCTCAGTGAATTACTATGAAAGTTAAACACTTTCATAATACTTCTGTATCTTCCTCAGTAGTTTCAGCTGTGGCCAGATAAAACAACATTTTTCTCATTTGTGGTATTGTTTGTAGAGTTTTATCTGAAATGGCCAAATGCACAAATACATTTGATGGTACTGTAGAACATCTACACAAGGCTTTAGTGAAAACCAGAAAGACAGCCACAAGATTCTCCCATGTTTAAACATGCCCAAACCTCCTCACCACAAGCAACAGCCATAGCTGCAATTATTCACAGCTAAGCAGGTAGCATGGAGTTTAAAGACTTTTCTTTTTCTCCTTTTGAGATTTAGCATTAATCTGACAGACCACTGCAGAGACAGTGGTAAATACTTCTCTGTTTCGAGGGTCCTGACTATCAAGCCAAAGAATTTTCTCAGTCAGGTTAGCTCGTGTGATCTGCAAATTATGTCTTGTAAAGATAATTTGTGGAATACTAAGAGTCCTGCCCAGTTTCCAGAGCTCTAAAAAGATCTCACTTAATTTCTGACTGGGCACGGCAACTACTACAGGAGAAGGTACAAGTTCAAACATTTCAGTGGATTAAAGGTTCAGAGTAAACAATACTGCACAGTATCTGTGAGAATGTATAACTTGCAAATAAAGTCAGATAAAAGCTGCTCTATTTTTTAAACTTTCTTTCTTCATAGTTATCAGCTTTTAAAATACATTTTCTTTCACTTTCTGAGCTCTGCTCCCACAGAAATGATTTCAATATATGACATAGAGTGTGTACAAACTATAGTACTTAAAAACACAAATACTGATAATCCACAGGACGGCATTTCTGGTCAAACATCTCAGATGACTACTATTTAAAAGTGTTTTCAATAAAAACATGGTTGTAATGATTTACTGTGGTCTGTAAGTAATGCCGGTTCTGCAGTTGTATTCAAGTCAACAGAACTGCATGGAACAGACTAACCTTGAAGACCCCACAGTTCAAGCACCAGCGCATTGGTCTGAAGGTAATTGAGAAAGTCCTGTGAAACACTCAAGACAGTGAGCTGCATTTTGTGGTCTAGCACAGGATTCACATTGTGCCAAACAGGTACAGTGTAAAAGGGCTGTGAATTTTCATATACACTAAACCTGTAACAAAAGTGCAATGAAGATAAGACATAAAAAAGTGTATTACAGTACAAAAATCTGACACTGACAAAAGCACAGAATATTCAATGTACGGCATATGTAAAAGTGTCCAAAGAATCTCTAAAAACTAATCAAAGTGAATGTAAATCTTAATAAAGAAGGAAGATAATTTTAAATCCTGTACAGAAGAGTGGGGTGTGCCCTGCAATAAGTGATTGGGTTTTGAACTTCTTTGGGGTGTATAGGGGAACACATCTCAGTAAAATCTAGATTTTGATATTCACTCCCTTCCAAGGCAGTTGGCCAAGGAGGACACTTGTTAGGGATGATCTTTAAATGGCAACAGTTCAATGGCAATGAGTTCACCGCTTTCAATAACCTGGTCATCACACCACAAAGCTGGCCTGATGGCAGAGTGGTAACCCCATCTTCGATCCTGAATTGAGTTTGAAACAAAGTACAAAAGTGAGACTACAAACATGTAGCAAAAAGGTTTGGAGGTCAGTTGAGACATGTTTGGAAGTTTTTGGTCTACATACAGAGTTACACATGGTGCAAACCAAACAGTGTTTCAACAGCAGGGATTGGGAAGCACGCACTGACACAAGGGCCAGTGATATCACGAAACGTCTTTCAGGACCTTATGCAGACAGCACGATCTGGAAGGGAGTGAGAAAACATGGGGAAAAAAGACTAGGATAGGGGCTTGGGGTCCAGTAGGTACGCAACCTGGTATAGCACATGCCTTTTAACAATTTTCTCAAATTACCTCATTTCTAAAGAGGTCAACACCACTGGTCTTAGGGGAATTGTGTTTTGCAACTGGTACAACTGTCACCTACAGTATATCAAAAGTTTGGAAACTTTCTGCTGATTGACAGATAAAAATATAAAGAAATATATTGCTGAACTGCTCAGCACAGGACCTCAGCACCTGCCCACTGATGTTATCAGGTCCTCTGCTTTTCCTGAAATGTGTTTTCTTAAAAGTATTTTAAATGCTCTGTGTATCAGATTCAGCTTTGCTGGTGATGGTGACCTTCTCTTTAAGCCCCCTTATTTCTACACTGAAATTATGCTTGCCAAACCTAAGATACAAACTTAGTTCATCAGCCAGCTATGTAGTTCATCAGACATCTTGTAGTTTTCAAGTGTCGAATTTCAATTAAATTAATTGACCTCAAAGAAATGTGTATACTGTACACTATTTGTAATTTAACAACTTGGACTTCAATGGAAGGAAGTGAATACTTTTACAACACACATATGACTGACTATATGTCATATGAAATCAAGCCACAGTGTTGAAGCTGATTTTCTGGGCCTTTTTCTGAACTGTATATTCACTTTATTGAAATGTATTGAAAGGTATATGACAAGAACCTTGGATCAATAAGCTACTGGGAATCAGACAAACATGATGAGATGAATACCCTTCTTGTGCTCTCTCTGTGGAAGAACAATACTTTCAAACAGGAGGTCTTAGTTGATGTGACTGCCTTTTATATGACTTTAGATAACATAAATATTTTAGATAGTTTTCCTACATTAGTTATGTGACTAAGGCCAGGTAATAGCCTCTACTACTGGAGCCTATTCCTCATTGACCTAAGTCGGAAAATTGTTGTTAATAATCTCAGTGTCCAAATCATCACTTACCCAATCTGAATCCCCCTCTCTCTTGTCTCCTTCAACCACTGCACCCCAAAGCATTGTACAATATGAATCTGAAAGTCAATTCTTCTGCCCAGCAGCTCCATGGGATCTATCACTATATCATCCTCACTGAGTGGCCTGGGAAAAGCAGACTCAGATGAAAGGAATGCAACTTTCCAGAATTAAACACATGTGCAGAAATTCTTATCAATGCTCTTTTGAAAGATGCAGGGAGTGAAATTACTGGCATTTGATCTGTGTATCAAAGGACTACAATGGGATACTTTAACCCAGTCAGGTTATTGAAGCTGACACCTTGGCTTCTTTCAAGAAACAGCTGAATGAGATCCTTATCTTAATTAGCAGGTGCAGAATATTTCAAGCCTGATGCTTCATTTTGAATTAGCAGAGACAGACATGCAATACTTTTGCTCTGTGCAGTGTGAGAATTTCTAATACCCTGCTTGGACCGAGTAAAGGTTGTACTGCAACAATCCAGTTAATTTGGTTGTCCACACTGAGAAAATATGGCCGCTAATATTTTCCCTCTCTTATTTTTGAAAGATGCCATTGAAATGAGGTTTTGCACACGAGGAACATTCACAACTCTGAGAAATTTAGAAACGTGTTTTCAATCCATAACATAATGAATTTACTACCCTGGGAATTAAATGCAATTCCAATCTTCTAGCTCCCACTTTTAATTACTGAAAAGGGCAAAACACAAAACAAAGGAGTTAAACTAGAAAATGAGGGGAGACTATTTAATGATAGGCCAATGATTGATTGTTCAATGATGGTTATCTTTTTGATATACTGTACTGTAAATATTTTGGAAGCTGATTAACAATAATGTAGGATTACCAGCATCACAGGGTCTTTGGATCAATAAGCTAATAGCAACGGAACAAGAATGATGAGGTTTTCTGTAGTTTCCCCTTATGCTTATATGATCTAAATATGTTACAGTACATTGACTAGTCTAATCAATTCTCCTTCATGTCTGAAGGACTCTCTCGTCTCAGGTGCTTGGGTTGCTGTGGATGTAAAAAGCAGTTAAGCCCTGGTTATGTCTCATTCTGCCTCGCTCTCAGGCCCTTCCTTAGTGGTGCAGGGGTACCCACTGTCCTGTGCTGGTGCAGGGGAAGAGGTCGATTTGAAGGATGGCCTCCTCGCGGCCATCTGAGCCAAGCACCTCCACCTGCTCCTCCAGCCGGATGCGGTAGGCGAGGGACTGCAGCCAGACGTGGGCGCTGCCCAGGTGCAGGATGTCCACTGGGTCCCAGAAGGGATCTCTTTCCTGGGCCACAGAGGCAGCACCCCCTTCTGCATGCAGCTGGTACAGCTCCTCCATGAGGAACTTGCGGTTGATGAACTTTGCTTTGGACCACCTCCACACCTGCAGGTTACAAAGAAAGGACCTTCAGGCTCTTTTTTCTTCCTTTTCGGCCCAGGATTGCATTCCTCCCAGGGGAGAACTGTCAGTGTTGCAGGAAAAATGAATACGCGCATAAAAAGGGAGATTTGAGATGATATTTAAAAGAAAGAGGTTGGGGGATAGCCGTAAGACCTTAAGGGAAACCCAGAAAGAAGCAATGCCTCCTTATTGTACGTGTAAATGGGGGAGGGGGGTTCTAAACAAAAGCTCAAAAAGATTCAAAGAAAACTGAGACAATTATGCTTGATGATGATGGTGGTTCCTTGCTTCATAATTTTCATCTCAAACAGCTGTAAATGTAGAAGGGGACGAAGTTCTGTCACCTGGGAGTTACAGCAGATGATGAGCATAAGCCATTGTGCACCAGAGAAGTGGGAAATTGATTTGTTAATGTAACTAAGAGGAAACGTTAAGGAGGCCAGATTCCACAGCTGCAGAGTGGACACCGAGGTTAACACCCCTTCTCTTGATTAAAGTCACTGCCTCTTTATTAACCAAGTAGTCAAGCTCTCAGTTTAACATCACATCCAAAAGATGGCACCTCTTAACCCTGTTGTCCCAAGTTACCTTACTGGGGAAGTGGCTGATAAATTCTAATAGAGGGGAAGAGGTCCACCAACATCAACATCCAGATTTGCCTTGGAGGTCTCCCATCCTAGTACTGCCCAGGCCTAGCCCTGTTTAAAGTCTCAGATCAATTTAAATAAGGCTACAAGCTCAGTAGTAAAGATGCTGCCAACGGAACAGTTCATATGATCTTCAGCTATTAAGCATGTTGCTATAACAACTGGTGTTTTTATACGGAATTGGTAAAACCACTACAAAGACCTATTTCTTTAAAAATCAGAGAACAAATTGTGAACACCACAATATGCCTTCTGTACTGCTTGTTTGGCTCGTTTCTGTTACCATAGATGCATCAACAGAACATTGGCTGTAACCCCTTTAATGATAATGTCATTATTGTAGAGCACATTTTGTTGTTCCTTTTTATCTGAAACCATCTTTCATCTTTCCTCCTTAAAACCATGCAGGATTTCTCTCATCTCCATTAAATTAAACATTAAATGAGTGGGGTCTTTTAAAGAAAGAATATGACGAACAGGATTCCTCTTTGTTTGCAACCTGTGTGCATCTTGTATTTCTGAACTGAGGTAAGTAAAGCAACATTGTCAGGAATTGGTGCCACCTAGTGACCATGCTGAAATTGTTGTATTTAATATTTGACTCTTCTAATCTTGTGTCAGTGAAATGCACTTGGCTGGAATGTGGTGTAGCCAGATGTCAGCTATTGTTTTCTGTGTTTGTGTGCACAGTGAAACATCCTTAATTCTTAAGTGAAACACTAATAAACCAAACAGGGAAAATAATTATTTTGTTAATGTGATAATTGCCTGTTATAAACATATCATGTTTATTTGGTTAGTTGTTTACACTGTGGCATGCATGTGGAATAAGATGGAACAGGAGCTATATTAAGAAGGCTTAATGTACTGTAGGCTTTAAAATACAACGGAAAAACCCGTTACAATCAGAGTGTGTTGATCAAGTTATTTCCAAAAAAGTGATCGAAATTATATATAATTCTATATATAGTATACTTAATGCCTGTCTAAAGGACTGTGTTCTCAAAATACCTAAATAAACTCCTGATTCTGGCTCTGCATTTCTTTCAAAGATGTTGCGGCAGTTAAGGAGGGAAAAGTCATTGACATCAGAGGAAACGTCAGGTACAGAACCTTACCTGCTTTGTTTCTGTGTGTGTCATTTGGATTGCAATCTCCTTTTCCAGGTCGTGGCCTTTTGAGTCCGACATGGCCAGATTTTTTATTTCTAATTTAAACTCCACCCCCTGTGGAAGATTATAACTGTTTCTTACCAGGTACAAAAGACGCGTTTTTAATGCATACATCAATCAAAATTGGATTTTCAAGTGGGATTTTGCAGAGACGTAAACATAATATTTGAAGTGGTGACCGAAAAGGGAGAAGGGAGGACTGATCTCAGACAATGTTTTTGGATTAAATTTACCGTAGTAAAATTAACTCCCTCATCAGAACCTGATTAAATGTGTGGCACACTCGGTGCAAAAAGTACCTTGTTCAACTCCTGACTCATCTGGTTTGCCTCTGCCACCATTGGCAGAACTTTGATGTAGTCATGGAACACAGCTAACAGGCTGGGGTTAAGTCGACCATTCCTACTGCTTGTTCTTCCTGCAAAGAACAGGCGACACTCACAAGACACTCACAGGAGCTGCAGTTCCTTAGAGCACAAGGCTTTTCTGCTGAGTACAAAGGCCTCACACAATAATTGGAAAAATGCATGGCAAAAGCAATATAAAGATAACTGCCAGTCATGCAGTCTGTTTTTTATTTTGTCCAAACTGTTCAAGAAACCTTGTGGATATGTTTGACGCCTGGGTAAAAAATGGGCATTTTTTTTGTTCTGCATTACAAAAAAATAAGTCATTTACTGACGCACCCTGCACAGGGGGACGAATGTGGATCTGTGTATGCACTTCGCAGAAGGCCACTTGTCTGAGCCATTTGATATTTAAAGTAATATGAGCCCTACAGTGCCTCACAGGAGAGGTAGCTCTGATTGGACCCGTCTTCAATGGGCTTCTCACTGACCATAAAGCAAGCTTGCAGGTCGCTGGCCACTCCAGGGGTCACTATAGCACACAGGCTGAGCAAACCCAAGCTGTGGGGCTCACAATCCCTCTAGTGGGCACACCCACACCTGTTGCTTTTTGTGTTACAGCTGAGCTCTTTACTTAGTTGAACCGAGGAGTTGCTTGGCTGGACCTTTTGCACGTTTTGGCTTCCTGCTCAAAAGCTGTAAATAACAATTAGCTCATGAACAGCAATAGTTAAAAGGCAGACTCTTACTTGCATAAGAACTGAGAAGAACTGAATCGCAGTATTAGGTCAATTATGTAACTAGGATTGAGATGAAACAAAAACCAGCAGGCAGGGGTGTATGGGGTCTCCCCAAGACTCAGATTTGGGGCTCCAGTCCTAGCTGACTCGTCCCCTCCCACACATACAGTACGTTCGCAAGAGCTTTTATCAATGGTTTTGGTTTGGGGAACATGTCGCAAAGTGATGCCCAGAGAGGTTCAGACATACAGTATACTACCAACTCTGCTCAGCACAATTCTGTCAACCCTTTTAGACAGCTTTCATGAGACTAGTTTATGACGTCTGTCAAACATATTATGCTCAGAATAAGTGCTTTTATTGATTCAGGCAATACCGATGGCCCATACCTGATGATCAAACAGCATTTCATTCCTACAACTCTTTCATTCAGTAATAGACAAAATCATGTCATCCTGATAACCTGTGCCATTTAGGCTATTTGTAGATAAAGCTTTAGGATTGTGTTGAAGTACACACAGAACATTCAGAGGTACAATATACAGTAAGCCAGTCACACTTGGCTCACTGTCAGTTGAGTCTTTACCCAGTTTTTCTATGTCAAACCCTTCTGCCGCTGCCAGCTCTGACTGGAAATAGTCATAGTCAAACCGGCTCCAGTCCTCGTTTTTGCGTTCGGAGGGGAAGCCAATGTATAGGTAGGTGCTGCTGGATCCCAGTATGATACGGTCCTGTTTTAAAGAGAGTGCAGAAAGAGTTATCAAAGTGTTTTATTCCAGGGCATAGAACATAGAACAAACAAACACACCAGTGTGGGGAGAAGCGTACTAGCAGGCCCAAACAAGATAGGCATTGGGTCACTAACTACACAGCCATGTTGTTGAGATTGATAATTTAGCTTTTCAGAAAAATCTGGATGTGACCTTTGGAGCTAATCCAAATGGCCTCCTATCTTTTCTAACTGTTCTTTTGTTCTTACTAGGAAATGGAGCATAGAATTATTTATTTCAAAACATCTTATTTTAATACAATCTCAGAAATAGCGGGAAAAATATTTTCTGAGTTGTTTTGTTGATATGAAAAAGTCCTATAAGTAAAATATGAATTACAGAGTTAGTTAACTTTAAATTAATGAGTGATTTAGTGGTTAATGAAAAAAATATTCTGTGTTGTTGGACAATTTTGAACAGTTATTTTGCAGATGAAGACAATTTGTCATCCTCCTAATCCATTAAGTGGAGAGAGAAGTAACTTGGTGGGTGTGGATGTTTATTTCAGTATATACCTTAGAAAACGTAGTTACTGATAATGAAATTATGGATCATTTTTGCACTACATAACACAGCTTGAAAACAATCAAATAATTAAGGGAGAACAAACATACCAGATGATTAAGTTCAGTCTTGTTAGAGATGGAAGATCCATTTACAATCACTTTGGCCACTCCTCTTGGGGTAATGGTAACTGTGCGATCATGATTCATAAAGGTAGCATGTTTTTTTTTAATGCTAATATGGAAAAACAACAGCAAGAACAAAGATTTATATAAAAGAGATGTTGGAAGTTCAAACTTCAGCCAGCTCACCGGCTGACCAAAATGTCCCAGGATGTCATTATTTGGAGTATTGCAATGCAGCAACTCCTGTACTTCTCTGTAGTACCAGGCTTGCAGTGATGTTAGTATGTCACTTCTTGAACTCTCTAGTATGTACAGCTTACAGTGTAAAAATATAATAGCTCGTAGGGGCAGGATATGTTGGAGGAGCCTGGGTATATCCTCATTTCCCAAATACTGTACAGGAATCATACCTACAGTATAAAGCACAGTCTTAAACAATTGCTGATTCTAAATTGGATGGGTATGTAATTAATATCCATCCTTCTGCGGGGGAGAAAGAGCCTATCCTGGCAAGCAACAGGCGCAAGGCAGGATACACCCTGGATGGCAGGCCAGTCTATCACGGGGCACGAACAGACACAAATACACACACACTCACACCAGGGGCGATTTTCCCAGAAACCAATAAATCTACCAGTATGGAAAGGAAAGGAAACCCACATAAACATGAGGAAAACATTTAAACTGCAAACCAATAGCACCTCTGAAACTGAACTTAGGGTGCCAGCACTACCAGTCAGCAAAAACAACCACTGTGCCACCGTGCCACCCTTAATTAATAACTGGTTGCTACAAATTAAAAAGATAATGTGCTTTTTAAAAGTGAAACTTTTGCAAGAGAATTAACTGTTGCACCTGCATCTATTCTTTATTTCTACACAAAATCTTAATCATAAAGACCAAGTATGCAAATATGCATAATTTACATAAATTACAGTATAGGTTTCTGTGCCTCCTGTAACAATAGGTATTTTCCATTATACCTAAAAAATAATTAAAAATTAATTAAAAAGAATACTTACAATACTCCCCCACCCATATATCTAGTTACAGTTATATTATCCCCTGTACTCTATATAAATATTGGAATATTGATATTGTTTGCTGATGTTTAAAGGCCAGAACAAATGTAGAAATCTGCTTTTTAAATTCCATAAAAAAATGTAAACTCAGGAAAAAAGAATCAAGTCATGTTCGTGAATGTACACTACCAAGAAGATGCTCTTCCAAGGGTAAAATATTTACTGGTTCATAATGTAATTATCAAAACCCACATACATTATGTTTAACTACTGTATAAGCAAGGTTTTCAAAGGATTCTTATAAATGTAAAGTGTATCCGCTTACTGTATTTTAAACATGGAAGTTAACATTTCAATTAACTTCAGCTGTAAAAGTAGATTGATTTTGTAGCACAGCTCTTCCTTTACCCCTTTAAAAAATAAAAGTGTGGACATCCATACTAAATTAATTAATTCAGCTGTGTTCACGTACCCGAGACCTTTGATTGGGATTGTGTTTGGAGAACCGTCAGCTAGACCGATTTCCCATTCACCTAAAAACAGCCACATAAAGGCAAGTTAGTAAAAGTAAGTTTCAAAGAGGGTAATGGAATTCATCCTCGATCATGCAGTCATCAATACCATTCTGGATGAAGAGTTTCACCACTCCTGAAAGTTGAGGGTCTTCATTGATGTTTAGAATGTAAGGGAACATCTGCATCATCCGCCTTTCCTGGGAAAGATAACAGCAAACTTCAGTCTTTCTGGCAATCCAAACCCGTTTCTCATTTAGATTACCAATCTAAATGCTTGCCATGGGCTCTGCCTTCTCTCAGTCTTTTTCTTGTGGTGTTAAATTTACAGTAACACTTTCACAAAAATTGTCTTTCAAATCCTATGGCTAAAAGCCTGATGGGCTATATTAAAAAACATAAAAGTTTTATGCCTGGGAAATGACTGTGTTACAGAATATACCACTGCTTATGTCTCACTTTTCAATTGTTTTTCATATTATCAATACTGTCAGAATTTGTTTTTTGAAGAACACTTTTATGTTTTTTGAAACCCACAAAATGTATGTCTAAACAACTTCATTTACATGATTGACTAGTTAATACACAGCCATTCTGAGACATGCAAATGAACAACGCAAGCCAGTACAAAAGTGGCATTTGCAGAGTAATAGGCACCTGATATCCAAACATATAACAAATACTGGAGTGAGAAGAGAAAATCTAAATCTTTTTTCAATGAAAACCAGTACTATAGGAAAGATTTAGATTTATTGAGTTTTCAAAGCATGTGGTTGCTATGACTTATGTGAATATGAATCAGTTTTGCTGTTTTTGTAACTTTGCCATTTGTGTATATGAAGTCAAAATCACTAACACTGCTGTTGTGAAATGATAATGGCCTTGAAAAGAAAAGGGCAGTCCTTGAGAGTGACAGTGAGTTATTTAGCAGGGTAAATGTATCTTTGATCTTGGACCATTGCACTGATGCAGCAGGCCCTCTCCAGACCTGTGTGATGACTGCATACTGCAGCTCCCAGTCCCTCAGCGCCTCCTTCAGGTGCTGCTCCCACAGCATCTGGATGGCCTGGATCTGCAGCTCGTTCTGAGTCAGCAGCCGCCGCAGCTCTCCTGGACAGATGAGCGCGTCAGAGAGAAGGCCTGGCCTGAGCCACAAAGCTGAGGCATTAGATGAGCACTCGTGCTTTAAACTGGCAAAAGTAATGGGCAGCGATAAGGGCTGCAGAAGGACTATAGATATACTGTACATTTTTCTAACACTTCTGTCTCCAATTTTTTCCCTCCTGTGAGTTCACTTGCAAAGGATCTGCTTTCTGTTCCCAGACTGCTGACAAGACTGACCCTGGAAGCATCTGCTTCCGGCCTTTTAAGTTATCATCCGACCAATCATCTTTTCAGAATTGCTCAGGTGATCAGGTGATCAAGGGCAGGCAGCACCTAATTCCCCTCAGCATGATGGGTAATGTGGTACAGATTTTCTTGTCTGAACCTAATGCCCTCTTCATTGCCTGTGGAGAAGGCAATGCAAACACTGCATCTTAGCTTGGCCCTGACACGGGACCAGACACAGACTGGTTGATTGTGGAAGCTGAATAAAAACTATGTAGTACTTGTTCTGATGAACTAATGCTGTAAGTGGTGAAGCTTCCTTTTCTCCTACTGAATTGCATGTGTGGAATGCTAAAGACATGAACAAAATGTTCTTTAACATTCCACATAATTAATTAAAAGTATTGATTAACTCAATACTGAAAATAAAAGAAAAACAATGTTTTAGCTGTGGAGCCTTCTCCAGGTGTGTGTTACCACACCTACAGAGGTTTATTTCATGATCAAAACTGAAAAACGAAACAATGTTTCAGCCAAAATATTTTTCTTCTTTTTGCTTTTCAGTGTGGACTAATCCTCTATTTGTTCCCCAATTTCTCCCCTCACTAATATAATTACTTTCCAGCCCTGGTCCTGAAGTGTTGAACTTGTTTCTGGTTTTCATTCTCAAATCATTGTAACATATTTGAGCCAATTCAGAGAAGCAAATTCACTCCGAGTCTTATGCTGAAACATACAAAAGCCTAGCCCTTGAAAAACAGGGTCACCGGCAGATTAATTTAGACAATTAACTCTCTTCCTACACAAATTATTTTATATGATCATGGTGGATTTCTTTTACACTTAAAATAATCAGAACAAAATTTATATTAGTTGATGTTAATGATGATTATTATTGTTGTTGTCATAGTTGTTGTTCGTGTCCCACGTCGGGTGCCAGGTACTCCACGTTGGAGGTTGGGCATAAGGCTGACAACCCTGTGCCGTAAAAAACTAATGTTACAGTAACAGCAACAGGATGTTACTTCCCCTACATGCTGGAAGGCATAACGAACAAACATCCATCCATCCATTTTGTATAGCTAGACATTTACATTTTTTCCAGAGCCCTTACCACTCCTCCATAATGGACCACTCCACCAAATTTACAACTCTACACATACTTGACTCGTGTTCAGTTCTTCTCCCCTCCTGCCCCAGTTTGGATAGTTTGACCAGGAGCTTAGCATTCTCAGCCTTCAGGTCCTTGACGAGCCGCTCAGTGGGGCTCTCGTTGACGACAGGTTTGTTCTGGATCTTCTTTGCCCTTTAACAATTCATAACGGGCAGAAGGAGAACATATCAGCTCGGGCTCTGAAGAAGTCACGGATGGGTAAATTATAAAGTAAATGTCTTTTAATCATTCCATTTCAGTGCTGTAGTACCCTGTGAGCACATCAAAGTAAGCTTTTTCACCTTGTTCTTTCAGTCATTCTTTCTTTGAGGCAAATTACTATAAAATGTACACTGATAGTAAAATAAAAGCCTCTTATCGATTCTGATGAATTCCTTATCCATTATTTTACATCTTTTGACAACATAAATGATTGCGTAGAGCATGTGCTTCCCTGTCAACACCCACCTTTCTGCATAACGCAAAGTTGAAAGCGATTCCTCATAACACATGTCAGCAGGGCTTAGAGTCGCAATCTGAGAGAGGAAAATTAACGTCAATTTTAGTTTTTCATAGTATTGTTGATTTGGTCTACTGTAGATCCAACCAGGTTAATAAATATTCATGAAAATAATTATTTAATCAACATCAAAACACTACTTCTGCTTCAGACGGCTCTTGAATTTTCAGATTGTCCAGGTTCATGAAATTGAAATATCAGTGATATGACTGATATGATATGATAAAAGGGGTTTCAATAACTTTATCAAATTCTCATACAGTACAATCACAAAATTTGCAGTGCAGAGAAACACTGTGAATAGCAAAATTTACATATAGCCAAGTCCACCCCTATACCATTTCATAACGTAGTACAGTTAGTACATAACCATAGTACAGTATGTATGGTTAAAAGACGTAAATAAACACCCTTATATGACTAAAGTACTAATTAATTGGCTTTAAGTTAATTAAAATAATACTGATCAGCTAAAATAAACATGAATTCCTCCTTCGTGTTCAGTTGATGCCTGCACTTTCTTTCTCTGGCTTCATAATGAGAAAGGCAAAAAAAACTGACAGTGTAAGGTTAACCCTAGGCAGTCATTTCCAACATCACCGACACAGAACCAGGAGCCCTTGTTAACAATACAATAAGAAGACCAGATTGGTCAGCTAAACCAAATTGCAAATAAGCCAATTCACGAATGTTAAACTTGCACATGTTGAGACTCTAAACAAGCCGACAAATGCAAATAAACATCTTAATATTTTTACTTTAAGTTGCCTGGCTGTGGAAATGACAGTGTTAGTCAGACATCTTATAATCCCCCTCACTTACGAAGGTTGAGCCAGGGAGAAACTGCTGCAGTGGTGAAGTTGGGACTGAGGAAGTAGTGCTAGAAAAGATGGGTGCAACAAAGTCGGAGCCAGAGAGTTTATATATGTGGCGAAGTGGAAGTGAGAGATTAGAATTTGACCTCCACCCAAACTTCTGTTAAACACCATTTAACATTAAGAATTTACAGACAAGAAACCTCCTTTGCCGGGTAATGTACCATGACTGTCCTGCTGTTGCCCCCCAGGGCAGACTGGAGCAGCTTGGTCAGAATGGAGTCTCGGTAGGGTATGTGCACCACCTTCCTGCCCAGTGCAATGTCTGCCAGGGAGCTGGGGGAGAAGGACAAGTCACTGAGAAATGTTCTCAATTTAGTGAGAAAACTTCACACACACATTGGGAGTAATTCCAACAAGTTACCACTTGTAACTTCGCAATTCTGCAGCTACTGTTTAAAAATAGTTAATTATACAAGTAAGCACTCTTTTCTCCATTGCTATAGCAACAAGACTAGACTGCTAGGAAAGATTATACATTGAAAGACTGTAGGTTCAGCTATCATTAAAATGACTAGGACATTTATGTAGCATCTGGACAAAACACTTTATATGACACTAACCAAACTGTGATTGGTAAACTGATCAAATAAGATGGAAAGGAAATGGGAGCTATTTTTTAACCTTTTTCCCCATATTTTTAGCAAGTTACACTTCAAGCAAAGTCTTCTGAGTTTACTAATCCTCTGACTGTCAGGCACACCGGAGCAACAGCCTGACTGGCAGGCTGGTGTTGGAAGGGTCCGTCCTGACCTTATGACGTTTCCCAGCGTGGTCAGGCTTAGGTTGATGGCAGTGCCTTCTTTCAGCCTGTCTCCCTCAGACCCTGAAGACCTCTGCCTCTCGCTGCCGGCCAAGTCCACCAGGTTAATGTTGGACTGCTTGGTGATGTTCTCCTTCGAAAAAATCTGGAGAGATCCATGGCTAAAGCAAGGCAGTGCTGGCCCTTCCCTTTCATATTATCATCACGGTGTCACCCAGTTGCTTCATTCTTTATGTATGGAAGGGCAGTGCTGAAGATTTAGAGCCAGACACACAATATACAGTACTTTTTTCCAGGAACCTTTACGCCAAGTCTTGCTTAATCACTTATAATACAGCACCTCCTGAATGGCGGTGATGCACTGTTGTACATTTCTGATAAAAACTGTCTGTTGGAGAGGAGCCTCACTTGCTTGAAGCTATTGTCTTAGCGTAAGGTCTTCTGATTCTCTGTTATTAAAAAGACACTAAATATATTTTCTTTTTCTGCAAATCATGTTTTTTTACTGTCACAAAGCCTACTAAAAATAAAAAGGTATTTGTCGCTCTTGTATTAGTTAAACTGCAGCATTTTATTATTGCCTTGGTAAATTTGTATCTTGCATTCTTCGAATCTTTGTGCACATTGCTAAGTGTTTTGTCTGACTTGATTCCTAGTAAAATGTATTTAAAATACTTTTAAATTAATATAAGACAATTAGACAGTATCTTATTGTGGATGTAAATTTAAACCAACCAGTCACTGCCCATTGGTGATGACTGACCACTTTGTAACAACTTGTCCACTTGCTGAAAAAAGGCTGCTCCTATTCTTATTCCTTTTCGTTCCAAGAGAGCTTGGTCCTTTTGCTAGATATTATTTCCAAATTATACATTCCCTCTGGGTTTGACCGGTTCTGCCACATATTTTCCCATTTCCACCTCTGCTTGTCCGTACAGGGCAGTGAACGATGGTCACCACAGCTACTGGGTTTGTGGACTTGAAAGTTCGAAAGACCAACAACCATCGGCCCTTTCAATTCACCCTTAATTCTTGATCCCAGTGGAACATAACTGACTGGGGAGCGCATTGTTGCAGTCGGCTCACTCTTACTTACTTTATTGTCCCAGATGGGAAATGTGTAGTGCAGGCAGTTGAAAGATGCAACACACTACACAATACATTTAACACCACGTGAACATGGAAACGTAGCTTGAAATGATATAAAGAAAACATATTGGTCAGGTTTCCAGACACAGCAGATCAATGGCTGTGGGAAGAGCAGCTCACCTGCTTGAGCTGGACGATGATGAGCATGTGTGATCGACTGCTGCTGGAGTTCAGGTTGGTGGCCGCCGTGGTCCTGGTGCGGTTGCCCTGCTCCATCAGCTGCTCTATCTGGGTGTAGCTCTCGCACGGCACTGTCCTGAGTCCCTCGACATAGAAGCCTCGCTGCTGGTCCTCCCTTACCTTCTGCCCGCCTGGGGCCCTGCTTCTCGACAGGAGGTCGATGACCTGCCGGACAACAAAGCAAAAGGCTTACTGCACCGTCAGGTCTCAGTAACGTCCTGATCCTTGGATATCGGCTTCCACAAAGTGATTATTAGGCAGTTTTGTCACAACACTTCTTTTGTGAGAACTTCTTGTTTCGTGTTCTTTTTGAAATGCACACTTTGTTTTGTTCTGTCGTTGAAAATATTAAATAATGTTTAAAGAAATATCAGCACTATTACAACCAATAGATGTATCGTGCAGTCTTTGGAGTCCTCCATTTCAGGCTCCCTTACTGACCTTAGAGACGACATTTAAGTAAACACAATTTCTTCAAGGTTTTTCTTGATTTCTTGTCTGCATGAGAGTTGGAACTTGAGGCAAAACTACTGATCTATTGAATACTACTAGAATTGAAGAGGACTTTGAAACAAATTGACCCTACAAAGTTATGAATTCATGCGAGGCATTTTTCCTTAAGAACCACTGCATGTTTTACACTTAAAAAAAAGGTCTAGAATGGATAAGCAAAATCAAAACTCAAATGAGTTACAGGACTTCCTTTTAATAAACTACATAAAAATCCAATGACCTGACCAAAATGCATGTTCAATCGATACAAGAAATAATTTACTTCTTGTTTCATTTCTTGCACTTTATTTCAACCCCCTTTGTTGTTATACAGTACTATGTCTGGGTATAATTACAGAAGTCTCAAAACAAACCATAATGATTTTACCTGTTCATTGTAGATTTCCAAAATGCTAAAAAAGACCTAAAAAGAAGAAAATTATTAAAATGTCAATTAAGTGTAAACATGGTTTCAACAGATTGAATTAAATTTTGCACCATGTTCTAGTTTATCCCATGATCTTCTTTTATTACTCTGCTGTTTATTACTGTTACAGGAGGATACTTACACACCAAAACACACACAACGGTTAAATCTGCACAATGGCCATGCAGTGCAAAAATGGTTCTTTATCTGAAACCATGCCGTGTTTATTTTTCCTTATGTAGCAGGTTTAATCAAAATTGCTTTTCACACCTGTACCAAAAAATGATATCTCTTAGTTTGAAGTATGGGTGTGAATATTAACCCTTCACCAAACAAAGAGCACATTCATATCTATGGCAGTTTTTACTTTGCTGTACATTATTGTGTTATACTGCACCTGACATTGTCGGCTGTCCGTCTTCTGTCTCACAGTTTCGAAGAGGCCTTCGCAGATGGCAGGGACGATGCCTTTGTTAGCCCCATAGCCCACCATGGAGTAGCTCTTTCCTGAACCTGTCTGTCCATATGCCAGCAAAGTAGCATTGTAGCCCTGCAAAGCATTGTCCAGTATCCCTTGACCGAGGTCAATGTACACACTACCCTGCAGAACAGGTGGAAATGTTTCATACGTCTGGTAACATTAAACCATTGTAATGTACTTTACCAAAACTGGGAAGGTCATGATTGTATGGTATAGGTTACTTTAGAAAATACACTCACACAGTCACACCAATCTGCTTCACTCACAAAGCAGATTGGTAGATGCAATGCAATGGTTTGACTGACTCAGCTTAGCACTGATGTGTGCACAATCCTATTTCAGTTGAACAAGTCTAGGCCCTGATTTTGCAGAGCCAGAATAGCTCTTGTCCTGTACTTGATATCTTGAACTCACATCGGGGATTACCCCGGTCTTGAAAACTACTGCCATGATGAGGACCGTGAAAGCAGCCCTGCACTGTATAAAAATGTCTCATGGTGCAATGCATCTGTTCAATGGGTGGGATTTAACTGTCATATTGATGATGAAAATAATAATTCCTTACTCTTATATAGCGCTTTTCTGGATATTTAACTCAAAGCACTTTACAGGTAATAGGGATCCCCTCCACCACCACTAATGTGCAGCCTCACCTGGATGATGCGCCAGTCCTTCTCGGTGTGGAGGAGAAGCCAGCTCAGAGATGGGGATTATTAGGAAGACAATGATTGGTAAAGGCCAACAGGAAATTTACGCCAGGGTAACACCCCTACTCTTTTCGGGAAACGCCCTGGGATTGTTAATGACCAGAGAGTCATGACCTTGGTTTTAAATCTCATCCAAAGGATGAGATATAGTGAGATATAGTGTCCCCGTCTCTATACTGGGGTATTGGGACCCACAAAGACTGCAGGGTGTGCGCCCCCTACTGGCCCCAGTAACACCACTTCCTGCAGCAGCCTTAGCTTTCCCAGGACATCTCCTATCCAAGTACTGGCCAGGCTCACAACTGCTGAGCTTCAGTTGGATGCCAGATGTGAGCAGCATGGTGATAGGGCTGCTAGCAATATAAATTAGTGTACATGGCAGAAGACTGTCAATGGAGAAAAACAGGCTTTGCTCTTACCTGATCTGCGTATCGGCTGTTTGGCTCCTCTGGGACGAACAGACCATCCTTGTTCTTTTTGAACCCATTGTGTGACCAATAAGCATAATCAAAGGTGAAGGTCCTCTTGTTCTGGGGGTTGCGAGGATCATATATCGTGGTTGTGTTGGAATTCATGGAGATTATACATTTGCTGCCGGCATCCTTCTCTCGCTGCAACATCATATCAGTAAAGAATGTATCGAACTTCCATTTAGAAGAGCAGACTGATATTTTAATTGTATGTTTCTACACCACTTTAAGATTTTTTTTCTTGCTCTTCTACTCTGCATGCAGGTCAGGAGTCAATGAGCCCTGGTACAGGAATGGGACCTTAACCTTAATGGGACCTTAACCGTTGTCTTTAAATCATTCAATATTCAGTTCTGTTCTAGTTCTCCACCCTCTCTGGCAAAGAAAAACGCCATGATGAATGGTCATTCTGGATCACCCCGTTTTCCAACCAATTTGGTGTATCTAGTTGATCGGCAAACCAAACTTCAACAATCCCGATGGTGGATGTAACCAACTAGTCGACCATGAAGAAGAGTAGAGCGATGTCTATGAGACGCAGACTATAACGTGTCTATAATAGAGTGGTTGGGGAGCACAGCGGGATTCCTTCATAAGAACAGCTAAATCACCAATCATTTAAGGCCAGGAACAAACAATTTTAACATCCTAAGACAACACCATAGCTAAATCAGCTAACTTATGCGTGCCGTTAAGATATTAAACCATCAATAGTATGTGGTCTGTGAGGCTAAGACATTCACATTTTCTAAACATCAAGCTTCAGCGTAACACTTCCAATTTTGTTGCTAGTACAAAGGTAGTGTTGTTCCACAGTTTACCATCCAATGTTTATTTTTAATTCTTGATTATCATACATCCAGATTCTATTTGAAACAGAACACAATATATCCCAGAATAAAAGTGAGCAAGCTTAAACCTAAGTAACAGTAGTCCAAATAGTTCAACATTAAAATAGGAAAAATGAGGGAAAACAAAACTTTCTATTTAAAGATTAAGAAAACAACAGCCCCAAGTTAAATAAACTTTTCAAAGCTGGCTAAAATTAGTTCTTCCAGTTCTAGAAAAGTAAAGGAGTGATAAAGGATGAAGCAAACGCTGGGACAATAACAGACAGGTAAAGGAAAATGAGTAGTAGCTTACTCAGGAGACTAAGGAAGAATTCAATATGACTCAGGCAGTTCAAGGAGAAAGTTCTGTATTAAATAGTACTAACATAGAAGAGGAATATGTGTTTCAGGTGCTAGAAACACTCAGGATTAGTAAATCTCCAGTGTTTGATGGTATCTTACCAATTGTAATCAAGGAAACAAGATGTAATTAATAAATTACATGACTCTTTCAAATGTTGCTAAAGATAGGTCCAGAGAATTTCTAATCTGGTGCCACAAGAAAAATGACCAAATGTAATGAGGTCATTACAGACCAATGACGAATTTCTATTATTGAAAAGGTTATGTAAATTAGAACTAGAGAATCATCAACATGAAAATAAATTTTTTAACATGCAACCCCTCTGAAGGGTGCACACAGATTATATAGTGATGCATTCAGATTTTCACAAGGCCTTTTCATTGACCCACAGAACACCGACTTCATTATACCTGTAGCTGCATGATTTTAAGGAAGATGCTGCAACAGACATAATATCAAATATTTCATTTACCTTTCCCATCCAGGATATTAAGTTTCCCAAAATACTCCCTATTTCGTAAAAAAAACAGCAGATTTTCAAAAGAAGAATTAAAAAAAGTCCCACAAACTTCACATACTGCAGAGTGATTTTATTCCAACATTTTAAATATCCGATTCGAAAGAACTTCAAAATTAAGTTCCAATTAAAATGACCACCAAGGTAAGATTAACATTAATCCATTCTTGGATTTTTCTATTCAAACCCATCAGCCTCCAGACAAGACAAACCATAACGATAAACTCACCTTGTTGAAAGGCCTCACACGTACAGCAACTTTAACACAGTCTTTATTAGACATTTCTTTACAAAATTCTCAATTTTAATTTGATGGAGTACTACCTGCAGCCAAAATGATTCTACCACAAGTAAAAGTGAACACAATTGCAATTTAAAAATGCACTCGATCCTGAAAGTAGGGTAACATGAGCTTCAAAATGTATCTCGTTACACCACACACTGTTCAGACATAAATAATTAAGACATTATTGCTAGTCTTACCTATACAAAATCATTCTTAATTTTAAATCCAAGATGCATTCAGAGGAAAAGCAGACACTTTCATTATGCATTCAGTTCTTATTTTACTAATCTGCCGCGCTTACATCACACACACAAACAATTGTTTACACCACCCAAATTGTAGCCGTTTGTTGCCTTCCCCAGCCATAAATTCTGCCTTAAACCTGTGCTATGCATACAAGGTTGTATTTACAGTTTGTGGCATAAGGACAGAAAGGAAAAGTGTACAACTATAAATGTGCTGCAGACCCGAGACATCCAGGACAAATACATCTTCAAAAGCAAAAAATCTTGAATTGGGAAGTCTGCAATGTTCGGCGTGGTCCAGACCGCGAGTAAAGAGTGTCAACACCGACTACCCTGGTTTGGGAAAAACAAATCTCCCTCTGCAATACATTGGATTAAAACAAACTACTGGTGCAAATAGTGTAATCTTAATTTTAAAAGTGGAGAAAATTTAAAAGTGACCGGAACCAATGACGGGCATTGTGTCTGTATCACCAATGCAAACACTGATTGCTGAATTTAACAGAACATAAAATTCTTGCAAAGTTTCTCTTTCCTGTTACAGATGTGTAAAAGCAAATTTGGTGAAAAATCTAAATACCATAAAGAAAGCTTAAAAAATGTTACCAAGTTTTATTTATAACATACCTAAAAGATATTTACATTTACATCAGTATACATATATAAATGAAGTCTTACAAAATAAAAAGCTCCCTCCCCAACACTCCATTAGGAGCTATTTTTCTACCAGCCCAATGCAGATCTTATTGATGCAATTTTACATTAATTTATATAAAATAATTTCTTTCAAATTAGATTCATTTATGGATACATTTCCAAATTGTTGCAGTTCTTCACACTTAAATAGAAAACAGCAGACAGAAAATTCATTAAGATTAAAAAAACATCAAAGCATCTTCCTGCGAGTCACAGGCTTTGGGAAAATGGCATCTCTCAGTCTCTTTCTGTTTCTCCGGAGACCAGTCCTCTGTACAGGAGTGTCACCCTCTTCAGATTTCTTCTGCCGCCCTTGTGGTAGTTCATCAGGGGTGGGCATGGGGGAGATTAAGTTAACTTCCACAGGTGGGGGAGACCAAGCGACTTTTTTCTTTGCCCTGCAGAGACATCAAGACGTTTTAAATAACCAGAAAACAGATGGAAGGGGGGCCTGGGAAGATTATTCAAGCCGATTTCCCAGAAGTCTGCACACACAGATTTTGGATTGCAGCTGTGTATGATACTGGAACACTCAACACAGAAGACACAGATACCCAAAACTAGCTTAGCAGTTGTAGGTATCATGCAGATTCTGATGTAAGTGGTCATGTAGGCAGTTGACAATGACCACACAGATACAGATTAGGTACTGATTTACCCAAGGAAAACCACTTATGTCCTTTAATTTTAATGTGGCTGGCTTCTGTACTAAGAAAACCCCAGAAACTTGCATTTACAGAAACAGCAAACACTCATGAACTATATTGTTGTACTGCCAGTCTAGTCATTGATAACTGTATGAACTCATTCTGCTGTGAAAATACATATTCTACAAACATTTCTTAGTAGTAAAAAACCCTATATCTCTTTGTAGATGCTCAACATCTGCAGTCAGAATTTGTAAGCAAAAATGATCTTTGCATAAAATTAATAAACTAAAATACATGGTTCTTACTTAGTCTCTCGCTTTTTCCTTGGTTTTGAAACATCAGAATCCTTCTCTTCCAAAGCTTTTGGAAGGTCCTCCACCATCTCAAGCTGAAAAGAAAGAGAACTCTCTTATTCTGAATATTTTTTGCACTGAACAGTTTGTAATCTAACCAAAGCATATTATTTTTTTAATGACAGTGATTATACACATGCCAGGCCATGTCATTTTTTTAAGCTGCTCGTTTCAAATTTATAGAAATTCATGGTTAATGCCAACAAGTCATTTTTAATAAGCTCTTAGCACATTCAGATTAAAATGTCATTATTGTATCAAACATAGCAGTCATTTAATGTTCAAATCAGGAGAAATTCTGTACAAAAATAAGATGTAAAGAAATAAATTCATATAGCTGTTACTGCAAACTTGAAGCAAAAACCTACCACATTTTCTACTGTCTGCGATTCTGTGGCCCCCATTTTCTGCCTTGTCCGTGTAACGGGTTGTGAAAATACAAACTGAGGTTCCACATCTGTTGGGGCTTCAAGTGGTTCTGACTTATCTAAGAAAACAAAAGCAAACACAAAAACAGCTGAATTTACTGATACTTAAACATAGCCAAAATTAATTTCTGACGAAAGTGGGACACTAAATCAGTTTAAAGATCAACTTTATCAATTCACTCTTGCATAACTTACCTTTCAGTTTTTTTGATCTAGCTCGAGGAGGTGAGAAGACAAAGGTCTCAGGATTAGGAACTTGGCCTGAACGATTCTGTCTGCTTAATTTCTGGAGTGCTGTCTCTGATGACCTGTCAGCACATCCTTCAGGTGCTTCTATATCATGTGTTTCAATTTGTGGCTCATCATTTGCTTCAGCTGCTGCAATATTCCCCATAAAACCAGCCTCTGATGAGGAAGGAACGTGATCGATAGCTACTTTTGTAACAGCTCTACTCCCTCTTTTATGGCTAACTAAAGCTTTGTTACTTTTATCATTGATAGGCACTTCACCCTCAAAGATGAGATTCTCTGACATTTTGGTTTCTTGCTCAATTCTTTCCTTCAGAGAATCAGCCGACTGCAATCTCGGCTCATGTGGGGGAAGGTCTTCTGAAAGCAAGGTTTTTTCTGATATATCCATCAGTCTTGTGAATCGATTCCTCTCTGATCGGCGAAGAGTGTCGGGTAGTTCATTAGAAACAGGCTTGGGTTTTTCTAATGTACTGCCTTTTGGTTTTCTCCCCCTTTTCTTTGGAATTGAAGGCACCTGCTCAGCTAGCTCAGTGTCTTTCTCTTCCTGCCTGGCCATCTGTGGAATCTGTAGTGTAAGTCCCAGGGATTTCCTGGTAACCCTACTTGGACTGCTAGGTATTGTTTTCGATTGATCAGTGGACTTTTCATCAGTAACTACAGGGGTATTTTCAGGTACATCAGCAACATTATTCCGTGTTCGCCTACTACTCCTAGTGGGAGTCACTGGCATTGGGACTTCTTGATCAATAATTTCTTCCTGTGCCTCAATGTCCTCAGAAGCCTCAACAACAGAGTACCTTATTCTGCGGTCTCCTCTCGTCTGGACTGTTTTTTGTGGAGTTTGAGGCTTGGAATTATTGGGAACCCCGTCAGATTGAGTATCTTTGATTATTCTTCTACTTCTTCTTGGGGTAAGTGGGATTTCAGAATCATGCAGATGTTTTGTACTTCTGGTGGATCTTCTAGGTGTTACAGGCATTTGTAAATCTGGTATATCTGTTTGATCCAAAAGCTTCTCTTCTTCAGAATGAGTGTTCTTTTCAGAGTCTTCTGAAAGAACACCCTTTTTACTCCTTGTAGACTTCTGTGGGGTTGAAGAACCAGGGTGGCCTTTCACAACCTCCTTCACTGCAGCAGGCTGAACGCTTGAGCTCTGCTCATCATCCACCAACAAACTTTTCCCCCTGGTACGTCTTGATTTTCTATCTTCTGTACTAGGAGTTTTCACCTCTCCAAGCACAGGTGTGACTAGCTGAACTGGCTTCCCTACTGAAGACGAGCTTCTAAGCTTCCTGCTGGTCACAAGAACCTCTTGCGGCATAGAAGTTTCAATGACCTCTGCAGAAAATTCTTTAGTTCTAGTGTCTTTAATGGCTTCCAGCAAGTTTTCTGCAATAGCCATTTTAATTGGCTCAGGAACATACGAAAGTGTCTGTGGAGCAGCTGTGTGAACCTCAGTAACATCCTTGTTGATATCTTCTAAAGAGTCCGCCTCCTGGTTATCAACCTGCTCTTCTGAGGATGCTAGCTTGCTCTCGGCAACTTGAACCTTCCTCTCCGACACTTCTGGCAGCTCCAGAATCAGAACATGCTCATCAGATTCAGCCAAGCCATCATCCTCATCCTCAAGCATTAGAGTAAAATTACTGGGAGTTGCAGGAGCCTCCTCATGGTCCACAGCAGTATTGTAAGCACCAGCTTCCTCCAGCTGCAAAGCTTCTCGATCAAGCTGTTGCTCTTCATTGAACTCCAATGGGATGAGAACAGAGGCAGAAGGCAGCAGCTCTGTGTAAGTCACTGCGTCCGGTTCCTCATCTAGGGCTTTAGCTTCCATGTCCTCATCTACCAACTCCTAGGAAATATCATGCACGGATTAACTTTAATTTATGTTACAGTTACTACAATCATATTATTGATAATAGTTACACTGCGAGTAACATATATTCCAAATATGTCAATTTATTAAATTAAAAAAACAAGTCAGAAAAATACAAGCAAAATGTACAAAACAATTCACTCATAAAAATCACTGCAGTGCAGTTTTAGACTAGCCCTAAAAAGTCTTAGCAGGAGCAGCAAAAATTCTAAGCCTGAAGTGGATTAGCGTTTACAGGCAATGAAGAATACTCTTACCTTGACTTGTATTTCCTGTGTGATGACAGGAAGGTCAGCAACAGAGGACTCCTGCATGTAGCAGATCTCTGGTGGCTCCTCTTGAACACTATCATTAAGATCCTCAATGATTTCAACTTTGCTTTCCTGACCAGCTTCTAGCACAACCTCGAGTTTCGTTTCAGAGGCTGCCGTGGAGCACTCTTCACTGTGATGTACACTGACCACAGCTGAAAAGAAACGGCACTCTTAGAGAAGTACTCTAAAAACACATGCTTAAATATTAACAGGTATAAAATGTTCAAAAGTAGTAACTGTGGTACACATAAGTGTACATGCTTTAAGAAGTCAATAAAGCACTTTGAAGTCAATGAAGCTCTAGTAACTAAAAAAAGTGTGAAAAGTTAAACAATACATTCATACTCACGGTCAGCTATTGCTGGTTCAGAGACCAGAAAAGTTTCAGAGAAAATTGGGAAGAGCTCCTGCTTCCTTTCATGACCAAAAGAAGCACTGCACAGGAGTAACAAAACATTAAGTTATAAGGGAGAAGGGTACATACAGTACACATGTAAAGTCACTTTTGTATATGGTTTACTTACAACTGAAATAAGTTGTTAGTTTTACACCAAATAAAGTTCATCAGCTTGGCTGTGGGTTAACCGACTTCATTACCTTTCACTAAATGACAAACGGTATCCTGTCTGAGATGCTTCCCTAATGCTAGAGCGTGTTAAAGTTGTGGGAATATTCTCAGATGAGGTTTGGTCGACATCATCAAAAACTAAAAAGGAGAAAGAAAAATACAATTTAAACAATAGTAAAAAATTGTCAAAACACTAGAAAAAAAAGTTGTTTGAATGCCAGCAGTGCATAATAAATCTCATCCATGGCTAAACTTTGCTTTTTTCATTTAAAACAGACAGGAACAGAAATCAGAAATGTGGTTGTTTAGGTTCATAAGTCTAAAGTGCACAGCAGTTCTGACACAGTAATAGTTTTCATCTAAATCAGTGAAATACAACTTTTACCTGGAGGCTGAACTTGTTCCTTACACGCAGGACTATCCTGCGGTCTCTCTTCAGGATTCACATCTTCATCCATCTCATTTGCGGTGGATTCTTTATCCTCAGGATCTGCAGGCTTTAGGTTCACAACAACCACGTTGTCCTCCAGGTCCTCTGGGGTGGGGGCATCATGAAACTCCAGTGTGGTGTCTCCAGATCTGACCGATGCGTGACTCATTTCATGAGGCTCACTCATTTTCTCCAGCCCTTCCACTCCAGAGGTCTCTGGGCTCACCCCTTCTTCCTCAACCTCTACATCAGCAGGAGGCTCCGGGGTCTGCTGCTCGCTTGGCTTAAACTCACATTCCTCTACTGAGGCAGAGGAGGCGCTGTCCGACTGAGTATTTAGAACAGATGTAGCTGGCAGCAAATTGACCTCACGGTCTTCGGCAACCTGAATTGAAAATAAATGTATATTAACAGATGACCAGAAGACATGAATCTTCTTTAGTGTATCAATTAAAAGTATGTACAAAAAGAGCACACAGGAGAGAAGCATTGCAAGAAAAAGCAGACTACTGCGTTATTTTTGCTGGACCTATGAGTGCTCTATAATATACTGTGTCACAACCTCTGATCTTTCCTCATTGCTCCATCTGGCAGATGTGGCAGTGGTCTCCTCTATGAACGTGATGCGGCTCTCCTTGGCACGCAGTGGGGGGGTAAGGGACCGGCCGGGAGAAGCGGAGGGAGAACCCACAGGAGTCGGGCGCTGGCTTGTTCTCAGGATTGACTGTGGAGTGAAGCCAGGGAAGCCGGAGCTAGCAGAAGCCAGGGCTCTTCCTCTCTAAACACAGAGACATTGAAATGTGAATTTCTTACAATTCGTCGATATTTGATTGTCCAGATCCATCAGCCTGGACTGGTTTCACCTTCTACCCACACAAAAGTTGCTTTATGAGCTGGTTCCTATTTTAACGTTGCCGTTTTAATTCTACCTATCCGCTGCTGGATGCGTCAGTGTGTGCTGGCCTCAGAGGAACAAGGAAAGGTTAACTCCATTAACAATAGAAAGAAGAAGCAACATTTTGTCTCTTGAATAAGGCACATCTGTTCTTGCTTCTTTCCACTTTTCACAGTGGAAATAACCTTTACTTGAAGTGTAAACAAGCTTAACTGCTAAAGAAGTTCTGGAATTCATTTAACTGCCAGAAGAATTTAGAAACTATTTCTGAGCTTTTTCGTCTTCACAGGCAACTTGCAGGACACAGAGAATCACAGAAGCTGTAAGCAACTTACAGCAGTTTAAGATCTCGCAGCAGTGCTTTACAAGGAGTTTGACACGTCAATTAGAAGCCGTGTTTTTACACTGGGGAAGGGATCTCAAGAGTGCACATTCCTGTACAGAAACATTAAAAGAGTTCCAGAAATTCAACTGCAGAGCGGTGTGGACTTCCCAGCGACAAATACCCCTTGCTTACCTTTACAACCTGTGGAGTCTGCAGCAAACATAACTCGGATGCAATGGGAACATTTTCGAAGTAGCTGGGTTTACCCGCCGATGGTTTTAGAGGGCTGGATGTAGACCATGAGTGGTGAGGCTTGGGGGGAGTTTGCTGGAACCTTAAAGGTTCAGGTGACACCTCAGAGGTTGGTTGAACCACTAAGTCTAAAATCCTAGAATTAGAAGCACATAATATTAAGATTAAATGTGTTGGACTGGCACCCATGCAGGGTAGCATTTATATCGGTGTTTTTCCAAACGTGGGGTCGCCTGATATGCAGATGGGGTCGCACAAGATTTCTATGAACTGTTAGGGATCCCACCGGAGTTCTAGGCAGGGAAATCTGAAGTACAGTACATTAAAAAAAGTTCAAATTGGTTTTGAAACCATAATAATTTAATTTCAATATTTTCAATTTGGAGCTCCCCTCATGCTCATGAAGATATAAAGTGTGCGCCCTATACTCTGAAAGCAAACATGACAATTTGCACGACCGCTTGTGACCCAGATGCAACCTGTCAAACCAACATCACCCACTGTTCTGCGCAATACGGTACCTAGCGTTATGTGTTTTAGTCAATAAGCCAGCAAAATTAAGAAATGTCTTCATCTGGTCGCCTCCACCTCGACACTGACATCAGCCAGTGAAACCAATGTGTAAGTGAGCACGAAAATATGACAAACCGTTTTTTAACAGTACGGATTTACGGGTATTCGGGAAAACAACGAGGAAAACCCTAAATGCCTGCTGGGCTGTGATGTACTCTCCACAGAGAGTATGAAACAAAAACTCAAAAGACACTTTGAGACCACTCACAAGGAATCCTTTTTTTGAAAGAAAATGCGATGAGCTGAATAGGCAGCATATGCAGTTTAGAAAAGCCGTGACAGTTAACGAGAGGGCTTTGAGAGCGTCTTTTGTAGTTCATAGCTTTAGCAATGTGGTAGCTTGCTAAAGCCACAAAGTCACATACCATTGCTGAGACTCTGATACTGCCAGCAGCTATTGACATTTTATTTGTTTTTTTGTTTGTTATGGTATAATACAGAACTGTTATCTATAATAGCCTTTTGTTGACAAAGTATTCTGGCTCGGCCTGCGATCCCTACATGATTTTCCCATTTGCCCCCCTTGTTAGTTTAATTGAATAGCCCTGCTCTAACTAACGGTATGTGAGAATTTTGGGACCTACAAACAGGGTCACTAGCCAAAAAATATCAACCTGGGCTGCACAAGTCACACTTTAAACTTTTTGTTTTACAAATACAATACCTTGGGATTTGGGTTTAGATGGTACATTTAAAGTTCCAATACATGAGTGCTTCTAGCAAACCTACTACAAAAGGATTTATCTTCAATTGAGAAGAAAACTGTTTTTTTGATTACCCGATTAAGACCAAAACAGTTGAAATCTGCAGTCAATCGATCTGCAGTTGTTTGTTTTGCCTTGCACTTCAAATTAATGCCCAGATGTTACACTCCTGGAGTCTTTCCCTTAGTGGTCCTTGCAAACATCACGTTAGACACTGCTGAAGTTCTGCAAGTTAAGCTGTCTTTGTCACTGAAGCTCTGGTCAAATGCTCCCCAACAATCAACCCTCTTTCAAGGTCACTGATATCTCCTCTTACAACCACATTTATAGGCAACCAAGCCTACGCAGCATGCTTGAATGTCACTTGCTTCATTAACCCATGAGCTGTGTGGAAGCCGCTGCTTTCATAACAGTCATTTAATCCTAATTTTTGAAACCAAGGTACTTGCATGAAGTATTAAAACTAAGGTAACATACTGTTTCCAGTAAGATGTATTTGCATTAGTTGCACTGCGTGTGGCATTATCTGCACCAAATGTTGCCTCAAGACTTGATCAGAGTGAAGTATTTGCGAAATACGAAGTAATGGTAAGCAACATTTGTATAACTGCAACCTTTTTGCACAACAATGGACAAAGCACCAACATACAGCAATATAAGTATAAGAAAGTCTTAAGAGATCACATTTAAAAAAAATGAAAATACCTGGAAATCCTCTTCGATGACTTAGTAATGGGCGTTCCTATGAATGCCTCAGGTAGCTCCAGTGACAGCCGACGTGGAGTGAAGGGTGGCAGGTCTGGAACCTTAGGGCTGTGTCAAGAGAAAAAAAGGCATTGAGAATGTTCTCCAGAAGTCAAATTCCGCAAGTGGTTTAACGCATTCTGAAAAGAACTAAAGCATCCCAAAACAGTCACAATTACCTTTTCAGTGGAGAGGGGTTTGACTTCGTCTGTTCTTGAACCCACACCTCACTAATTTTTGAGAGGACATTGCTGATGAATGCTGCTCTTGTCAGCACATTCCCTTTAGTTGCTGGTTTGGCCACAGTTGATAAAGGCTCTGGCCTGGCAACTACAAATTGCATAAAATACATATCAGTTTTTATCAGGGCTCTCATTACTGTTCTGCATTGCTTTTTATGCTTCACATCAAACCAACTGCATTGTCTGAAAAAAACATTCATTCATAAACGCTTCATGTTCTCACAAAAATCACAAGCCCAGTGTGTTTTATGTGCACTAAAATTTCATAAACAGCTGCTAAACAAAGAAAAAATGCATTGACAGCTGCTGGCTCATTGAACATAAGAAGCATTATCTAGATCTGAGTTGCTAAACCTGTAACCTGAGTGAGTTTCTAGGCTGGTTAAGCAACTTGAAAGCCTCTCTTCAATACAGTGGAGCAACAAAGAAAAAAAAACAAACCTTCCCGTAGCAGTGTGGATGGGTGATGGTAAGGTTTTGCTCGTTCTGTGGCAAGTTTTCGCTGGATTCTGGGAAGAACTTTTCCATACTGGTCGAGAATTGAGTTTCTGGCATTGGCCCGTTCTTTCAGTTTGGGATCTCTGTCATTCTGAGATTTAAAAAAAAAAAAGACGCTGAACAATGTTGAACTAATGAATTTGGAATTATTCTTGAAATAACCTTGTAGCATGTACATTTTCACATTGCATTCTGGCTGTATCTACATATTTTAGAACATTAAAACAATCAAGAATGCCATTACAATTCAAACCATCAATGACAAAAAACGTTATTTCAGAGTTTTGATACCTACTACTAAGTTCATTTTTAAGGTCTGATTAAGCTGCAAGGCTGGCACATAGTTGGCTTGCTGTAGATAATGAACCATGAGATACTCCTGGTTTTGAAGGCCACTGGTGGTCTGAAAGAATTTCTCCAGACATTCCTGTTAAAGGGAGACAGAAAAACAACTAAACTCAGACAAACATTTCCTAACACTGCGGCTAAGTGCAAATTATTTTCCGTTAAGGAAGTCTGTATCTGGTCATTTAAAGCATTTAAGATAAAACAGGCTTAAAGTGATTCAACAAAACAAAGCTGTAATCAAGATGAACTACATCATGGTTCCCAATGTTTCTTACTTTAACCTGTATTAAAACAATTATTCATACTTAACTTCTATAAATTCTAATATTAGATTCAGTTAGTTCAAGCATATCAAAAAGCACCATAAAATATTAGCTAACAGAAGGCATTTTGATACCAGACTTAACACAACAAATTGTACATTTCAAGCAATAAAAATCCATTAAGCTTCAGGACATATTTATAACTACAGGATCCATTTGGCTAAAATGGAGCAATTATTTAAACTGAAAGTGTGTATACACAGGAGTAACATTTACAAATTTATTTTTATTGGAAAGAACAACTTTCCCATGACAATAGGTGATCAAAGCTTAACAAGAGTAGCGTTTCATGCATGATAAGAAAGTTCAAGGGCCCTACCTGCTCAGCAAGGCTCAGAGGCAGCTTCAGCAGCTCCTCCATCTGCCCCAACTCCTGGCACATTTCATACATGTACTTCAGCAGCTCATCCAGATTCTGCTTGTTTGAGTGTTGCCTCAACAGACTCCAGGCTTCTACCATACATCTGCAGCACATTTAAATAATACTGAATTGTAAAATCCTCCTGCGTTACCTTTTAAAACAAAAATCCACTTTAATTCGGTGGTACCTGTTATGGAGCAACACTGTGAGGTACAGCATTATTTCAGCAGTGGAAGATATCGCTGGCTTCATCATCTGTAAGTATCTAAGAGCCTGTCGGCGCTCTCCTTGACACATGAGGGCCTGGATTATCCGTGCATGCTGCCAAGACAGGATCGCTCTGCAGGCGGCTGGATGAAGGAGGAGATCCAAGGAGGTCTCGTGATCATTGTGATCCAGCAGCCAAAACCCCTGGACAAGCTTAACCAAGCCAACTGGGATTGCAAATGCAGTTGGGAAAGATTCAACAGAAGATTCAGTTTTATTAGGAAAAGAATACATGACATCCAGTAACAAATAAATAACCTGAAGGGAAGCAGTTAAGGCTTTAAACACTTCATAGAAACAGTTTAAAACTTTTTTTGCAAACACTTATGCACATATACACTCAGTTTATTACAGGATGTGGGATTCTTAATGATTACTTATGACTAAATGTAAATGGAGTATTGACACCAGAATAAAGGGAAAACAGAAGACAAGACTATGCTTAATTTTAAAGCAAATCATTCTGAGAAACGTAGTTACTAAATGTAAAACCAAAAAAACGAGAGGATACAATGGCATGCTTTGCTGCTTCTTCCACACCATCCAGAAGATAAATGTCAAGCAAAGCCTGTGAAAACAAAAAGGTTACATTTACTCACATAATTCTCTGGAAAGTAGCTTTTCAAATTGCAACTCTCCTAGCAGCAAATAGGACAAATCTCCCAAAAACACAGAATATTTCACTCAATATAAACTTCTTTTTTATATTTACATGTAAAGTCGGTGGCGGATATTGTCCTGTTCCACCTTCATCGCGCTTCCACAGGTTTGCGATCCGATCTCCAAATTGGGATACCATCCCATCAATCATGAGGCAGTCTGAGCACCATTTTCCTCTGAAAAGCAAAGAAAAACTATATCTTGGAAAGGATGCAGCTGAAGGAAGTAGACAGCAAGCTGAAGGACCTTAACTGGATGGCAGTGCAGCAGAGGCTGGCAACCAGAGAAGCTCTTTACAGACACTCGCTCACCAGGAACCCGCATTGCCCCCGGGACATGCGTTTCATCGAGAAGACTCAGGAGCATGTGTTCTGGACAACATTATGCAACACCTGGGAGCAGGAGTGGTGCTCAGTTACCAGTATATCCTGCTGGGGCTGGCACCAACCGGATTGGGCAAGGGGACGCAGATCCTACTGGGGCTCACAAAACAAGGAATGTGGAACGCGAGCAACACTCTCATCCAGCAAATCGCACAGAGTTGCGGACCTGAAGGATGAAGCACGACGTTGCCAGATGGGGCTTCCCCACGGCAAGTGAGCGCTGGAAGGGACTTTGGGCCCTCTACAGGGACTAATGAGCAAAAGGAAGTGGTAGGGCCTGGAGGGACTCTATAAATGTGCAAATCTGGCCCCATCATCCATTTGCATGGATTGATAATGGACAATTACCCCCGTTCAGAACGTTTTATTGCATGTAAAGTTCATACCTGGTTAGACTGTTTACTAATTTGTGAGAATGTTTTTTGTGAGATGTTGCTTTTGGAAATAGAGTATATTTTGATAAACTTTTGGAATCATTTTAAAAAAAAGGAAAACATTTTTCTAGTATTTAGCTTTACATCCTGGTATGATTCCATAATGATAATCTGTGAAGTAAGTGTCATTCTAGTTCAGTCAGTGGTTCTGTCAGGGTTGCTCAAAGCTAAAATTAAGAACGGGAATGCATATGTATCTATAGTAAATATTATTTAACATGGAACTTTGTCTTTACATAGCCTGAAACATGTAGTTTGTACTTCCTAGGTAAACATCTGAGTGAAATATTCGTTTTTGACATTAAAAATGTACTTATCACCATAAGTTACCCATTTTCATCCTTAAAACACTACACTTCCCTTACTGTAGCAATACTGGAAAAAGAAAACTTCAGTTTCTAAGTGCAACATTACTTTCTCTCTGCGTATTATCCTTTTTAACCTGTAATTACAACTCCCTATACATTTTACTGGTGCCTCTTGTTTAAATGCTTTATAAAGTGCTATTTTCAAAAAGACTTGATTTATTTAACCACTTGGGACAATATTTTGCCAAATGATCACAGTTTCCCCACACAGCATCTGATCTCGACTCCAACTGGAGTTCTGTACGATTAAATTAGTTCAACATGATCCAATGGGCTTCATTAAAGGCCTAGTAGACTCTTATGTTTGCCACTTTTTCTAAATTCACATAATACCACAGATCCCGAAGATGGCCTTCCATTAGATGCCAAGAAGGCTTTAGATTGAGTACAGTGGGATTAACTGTGGCTGTGTATTAAGTATAGAATAGGAATTAGGTTTTAAAAGTTAGGTTCACTGCAATAATTTTATCTCCCAAACTTTTAGCAACAGTGCATTTTCCAATTTGCATTTCCTAGATTGGCATTGCTGCTCACTTTTCACTTTTGTCTACCATGTCTTCGTGAGCTCACATCTAGTCTTCAAACCACTATTTCTAACCTTACTGCCATTAACCTTACTCAACACTGAACATCTGCCCATACAGATATACTTATTATGTAAACAAGCCACCAATTCCTGCCACTTCAACAATTTCAGAACTCTATTAGGGTAGAGAATCTATTTTTTTCCGTCAATTTGTCTACCATACCAAACTAATGTAAAATAAGTATGTCCATACCATATGTAATTCCAAATAACTGGAAGGCAACGAAGTATAACTTACAAGAATAAGTATTTTCATAGTTCTAAAAAAAGTTTAATTCACGAGTATTAAAAGATATTTTAACTTACTTTGAGAGGCGTTCTAGCTTCTCTCTTCGACTTGTGTAATAGTTCTTTATAACAGGGTAACTATAAAAAGGTCTTGAAAGCTGAAGAACATCATCTATAAAACACAAGAGGTATTAATGTCCTCTTCCTTTCTGCAAGTACATTAATAATCAACATATATGGCAGCAATGGCATAGTTGTAAAACTTAAGGAATTTAACAATGATTATAAACATTACTTATGATTGATTTTACATGTTTAAGGTAGGGGAATAGGATGTTTTAAGTATATGTGCTTTGGGGTATCCGCACTACGATAGGAACCTAACTACCACATAGAAGGAGAGTCTACCATACATTTGATGGTAGCAGTAAAAAAGTCAAATTCTGGTTAATATCATGAGGACATGGACTTAAAATAGCAACTAACTGAAAGAACAAAATTCAGCTTAGTATTTTAGTACTACATTTTGAAAATATACTAATGGTAGTGTTATTAGGATGAAGAATACTCACCCGATCCTTCAGGTAAAAGGCCAGAGCGACAGAACCACAGAACCACTTGAGCATACTGAGAGATTAAGTTAGTCACCACACACTTGTTTGTTAAGCCCACTAGTCCTGTAGATGACAAAAAAAAAGTATGTACTGAAGAATCATTCAATGCTGTGCTCCAAAAAACTAAAGACACAATGATCAGAATATGTATACATACTATGAAAATGGCCACATCTGTTAATAAAGCATAATTCTGATTCAGCTGAATCTTCTATAAATAAAGATTTGGAGATATTTGAAAGTGAACAAAAGACTAGAAAGGTGAAAACATTAATAAAAAGATGTTTTGATGTATTATAATGCCTAGCAACACAACCCAACCAATGCAATTCAGAACAAGTACACTACATGCAACAAGTACTTTACCCTTTTCAGTGATGTCTTGTGCTTCATTGAGGAAGCAGCTGAAGATGGTGCTCAAATTGCTAATCAAGAGCTGGCAGTGCTGCAGGGCCTGAAGTGTCTGTGGATCAATGAAGTTACAGGAACTGTCAAACAGTGGGGCACCTGGCAACAGAAACATGGTTAAGAGATTAAACAAGACAATTTATGCAAGATAAACCTGTCACAAAGACGTTCATGATAGCATTAGTGACGATTTTTTTGTTAAAGACACAAACTTTAAAACACGCTTCAAATGGAATGAGAAAAACCTTAAACCTAATTTTTTAAAAACATTAGTGTTTACGATATTTCTCGATCAGTACACCTTAATGGGGGCACTGTGGAATTTTTGAGAAACTACATAAGAAAAACAAATTGTTATTTTATTTGATAATTAAATAATTTTATGTATAAGTCATTTTGTTGAGTAACCAAAAGATGTTGGATGTTTTGTATAAATATAAGAGACAGGGCACATGCTAAGATGGTCCAAATTAGACTCATGTGTGGTGTGAGATTTGATTTCAAGTCTGCTGGATATAAACGAAAATGCAGAACTTCTGATAGTGGCTGAACAAGAGATCTGCTTCACCTTCATCCTGTATCCTAACAGTAACTATTAGGATAATAGTTTATAGTAAAATGAGCTCAGGCCAGCAATGTGTGTGTATGGGGAGGGATAGTGCGTGCCACAAACAATTTCGATTTCTATAGCGCTCCGTGACACGGAAAAGCTTGAGAAACAGTGGTTTAGAGGCCAACAATGGTAAAGAATATACCTAGTTTGCCATAAAAAGCAATCTAAAAATGCAAAAAGAGTAGTGATGGTCATTGGGCACTAATCTCAGGAACATGGAACCCGAGACATTCAGCACAGACTCTCTGGCAGTTTCCCTTGATCTGTGGTGACCGATATCATCTACAGACTCGACAGGCTCCTAGGAAAGGCAAGTAACAGTTGTGCGGTCATTTGTCCCAGCCTGGATGGTGACATAAGTAGGAACCACAATATTTCCATCTGGCACTAATAAAAACCAGAACATAACAAGGAAAACCAGATTGGTGGAATCCTGCCAGCACTATGCAAAGATGAACAGCAGCAAATGTTAAACGGACAGCAAAACTTTTTGCCAAAGACATAATGCGCCGATGAAGGCTTAGGCTTTCTATGCCACTAAAATAAATCCACAGCAAAGGCCATCTGGTACAGGTTTCACGGTTTACATCTACTTGGGACCAGCATTAGGGGCACAAGGGGCACAGAGAAATTCAAAAATATATGACACAGAATGGAAGGTGAGAGAACTCCAAGAAAATTTGAACTGAAGAATCACAATGAGCAAACAGAGATGCAAAGGGAAAAACAAAAAAGGAACAGGCAAGTATGCCAACATGCAGATAGCCAAATTAATGACTGCTGCAATTTACAAAGGTTGCTTACTGACTTACAAATTCTGTCAAGTTCTTCCTTCATAAAGGTCACTTTATTCCAGGCCCACTCAAGAACGAAGCGCAGATTTGCCGCAGACCCTGGTTGCTCTTACAAAAGAAGGATAGAACATAAAGAGCAAAATGTTAATAAAAAACACCTGTGAAACTCATGACCACATGAAAACTTGAATTTTCAAGTGCTTGAATATGAATCCACAGTGGATTTAGATCACTTTTCATGAAAAAATTTAAATCCAATGGTTTCCTTACCCTCTGCAGTCCATTGCTTGATGCATCCAGTAATGAGGCCTAACGAACTTGTGTCAACAGCAGTTGATAATATAGCTTCTAACTGCTCCTCCTACAAAATAAGATATTTCAGTGAATGGAACAAGGGTTAACAATGAACATACAGTTACTGCCCAAAAGGGGATCTGCTTCTTCTAAAATTGACAGTAGGCACCTGAACTAAAAACAATACAAAAGATGAATGGGTAGAATTTCAACTGATGTCAACATGGAGGACCATTTTATGTGGTTAGACTATTTCTGGGTATTTGAACAAGTGCGTCAAATCAAGGGCTACAAAGAAGCAATTCCTGTGCAACTCAGCTACACAATGGATCTTCTGAGAAATCAGCAAGGCCAAGCAAGGGAGATGTGGGAGTGGACTACACTACACACTAAGTGCTGACCATTTCTAGCTCATAAAAAGATGACTCAATTAAATGAATGAATCATTTAGAATCCAAATAAGCCAAATTAATGTTACACTGAAAACATTACAAAGACAGTCTCCAACGTTCTGAACCCAACAGAACAGCAATTAAACTTAATTAGTACAAATTATAACTACACGTTTCAGAATCATGAACCATTATGATAAACTAATTTTAGAACTTTTTTAAAAACAACAAAATAATTTCTGGTCTAACAGGAAGACTGTAAACAGTTACCAAGTCTGTGTTGGTTGTGAACAGAGCAGGTGGCAAGTGAAACTAATCTATTCCAACATTCCAGTACTTTGGTAAAGAAAATCAATGGATGGTGATGGTTATTCTGGGACTGTAGGATTCTGACCACATGCTGAGCAAAGCAAGTCAACTGTTTTGGACAAATGATGACAGCAGATACAATTCTTAATTACACATTTAGAATAGTACTTATTGATAAAATTTGCCTACTCATTTTTAAGTAGTCCAAGATTGCAACCTATGCATGCTGACATGCATGTTACCAAGGACAAAGTTAAAGGTTTATTCATTGCTGAAAAGAAAAGGAAACAATGTTTTGGCTGTGGAGCCTTCTTCAGGTGACATTGTGTTTCCTTTCTTCTCTTTTCAGCATTCATTTTTAAAAGTTCAGTGTTAACTAATTCAATCTTTAATGAGATGCACTTAAAAAACACTAAGAACATTGTTGTTGCTTCATGAGTTTGTTTAATTATTCATTGCTCAGAGTGAAATGTTAACATCTAACAAAAACTATAGATTTCTATTTTATAGTTTAATCGTTTCAATTATTAATGCAATTATTAAATATGTCTACCTATTTAAGATAACTACTTTTTAAAACATCCTATGATTAAAAAACAACACCTGAACTGTGTTGCTTACCGTGTGTGGATTTTTTTTTATTTCCTACATGCAAATTCTGAAGCAAGCATATAAAACACAAGCATTTTATAACCGTGTTAAATATATAGACTAACCTGAGAAAGACTAGAAGGCTGCACTTCATGAAGTCGAGGAGAGAGGAGGCCAGACATCAGACATCGGTTATACCCATCAGGAATAACTTCATTCAAGGAAGGACCAGACTTTTTCAAGAAGCTTAATGTCTATTTAGAAATACACATATGATATGACTAAATAGAAGCTATAAACCCAGCTTTGCTTATTTATAAACTCAAGAATTTATATATATTGAAGAGACAAAATGTGTTAAAATGAGAGAGTACAGACCTCTTTCTGATATCCCAAACATGTTAAGTGGACAACACCAGAGTTCAGTAAGCAAGTCGCATCTGAAAAGCAAAACGACTATTAAAAACGAAAGCTGTGTCACAATTTCAGCTGTGACCAGTAAATCCTGAACATCTGAAGATACAAAAAACAGCAGGTTTATCGATTCCCCTTCAGTACCAAAAACAGTGCTGATCTTATGTTATTTTTCAAACATGAAAAATATCACAGCAAAGTAATGATGTATCTGCACAGGTCATAGCCACAGCAAGGGGTATTTTGGGGAACTTTGGTGGTAGTAGTTACAAACTTAAAAGCATAACTAGGTAACTCGCCATGGGTGTGGTGGGCTGCACTACTCCAGTCACTGAAATGTGACCCTAACATGTGCACCTAACCTACAAGTTTGCTTCCTTTGGAGCCAATACGCAATGTTTTGTGGAAACCCTTGAAATGCACCTACATGGATAGCATCACGCAAATGAGCGAATTATAAATAAGTACTGCCTAACTGAAAATGCTCTTCCCCGACATGGAGTTAAATCTTCAACTTACCAAAATTATAAGTGGTGGGGTTAAAAAACTGTTCCGGAGGTGGGCATCTAGGAGGGAGTCCTCGACTCAAACTACGTTCATGTACCAAGACATCCAGGAGCGGGCTTGGAGAGGTCATCTCTACCACAGACTCCAACGACCAAAGAGCAAAATACGAACAACAGTGCAGAAACTCCCCAGTTCTACAACAGAATTAAAATAAGTTTGGATTACTAATGAAATCAGACATTTTAACTACTGCCATTTTGGACATCCAAAATTTGGTGAAGTGAAATAATCTGAAAACAACATATTTAGAAATACCACAGCACTTGAAGTGGGAGTCTTTCAGAATAAAGCAATGCATAACAAATGTTTTAACATTTTTACCTGAGAGAATCTGGCATCTGTGCATGGTACCATCGGTTAATGTCGAACACTCCTATATAGGTACATGGCCGGGCCTGGCCGTAAGATTTCACATGCCAACTGAAAATGGACACACTGGTGTCAGGAGAGGCAACTGCAATAAAGAAGAAAAAGGCAAGTTTATTACTAAGAAACAGTTACACTAAGCGATACATTCATTACATGTAAACTTCTCATTAAAGATGTTCTATCCTCAAGCAAGACAAAAAGGGAATCCCAAATATAAAACTAACCTTCATTCATGCTGTCATCCCTATCAGGATGATTTCTGAACTTCTCAATTGTTTGACATCCTAGCAGTCGGGTGTTGGTTGCCTGGCTCCTCAGTGCAAACGTGCCATCGACCAGGTCTTGACTGTATCGCTCCTCACAGTACTCCAAACCCTAGATGAAATCACAAGTCAAATACCAGACTCAGAAACACGTTTCCTGAAGAAATGCACGTCAGGGGAGCCAGAAGAAAAGTGCATTAGGTAAATGCTAATGGATGGAGGCTCTGCAGTCAAAAGATTTTTAAAAAGAGTTACAAATTAGAGGAGGCCATCAGCTCACCTAGCCCATTCAGCAGTTAGTAACTAATTGATCCAAGAATCACATCTATTCGGTTTTTTTTTGTAAGAAGCCAGGGTATTGGCTTCAACAACAACTCCTGTTCTTAGTTTTAAATGCACTTCCACATAGATTTAATCTGGAAGTTCTGGGTTGTGTTTTAGTGTTTACTCCAAAACTTAAGACATCTTAAGGAAATAGCATGACAACAAAGTCAGCTGTGAAAAAGTGAAAGCCATTACCTCATAAAGTATCTTTCCAGAAGCTGAACACTTCCTCTCCCTAAATGCCAACTGCAGGAGGTGCAAACTGACAACATCGCCTTCACTGGTAAAACAAGGTGATAGAAACAAAATTAAGAATTCAACTCGGAATTTAGAGTGAAAGCTAATTCCTATATTTCTCAGCAAAACCTGTTACGTGTTATGTTTCCACCTTTAAATTACATTTTACATGGACTGTAACTTACAAATTACATGGGCTCAAACAAGATGCACAACAGAAGAGGCGTCTATCCGTTTCTCTTTGAAAATGCACCCTAGAAAAACTACCTATAAATTAAGGAAATTTCATGAAAATACTAAATGTGTATGTGGTTTCTTATGTTAAAAATGGATGTTATTATTTGTAAATAACAGGAAGAGTTCTTTAGTGGTACTTTAAAAATAGCTTTACGAACTTTTTGAAATTCGGATATTGCTATTTAATGTAGGTGGGTTTACTGTGAAAGACTGATATGTTTCAAAATAAGAACATACTCTGTCTTAACTTCAATAATGTAAATGTAACAGTTCTGAAAGGGACATGAGATTACCATTAAAAGGTAATGCTCTGACATGCATCTGTAAATCAGTCACACAACAAATTAGATCACACACATTGAAACAAGGGGAAAATGCAGGACCATTTGACTTCTTATTGGAAGGCTTTAGTATGACGGTCCCCATCACCATACTACAGCACTAGTTTGGAAACTGCAGTGCAGAGGGATGACTACTTTCACCAACACCACCTACAGCAGCATATGGTTTTCCTAAAGTGTTCCTTCCATATCTTAAGACATTACAGAAAATGCCATTTAAATTGACTTACCCATCCTGGGCAGACTGTACCGCCCACAGATAGCAACAGTTCCGAGGGTCATTCTCAGGCTCCTGGAAGGTAAAGGTGTAAACTGGCACTCTGCCACCTTCTAACTGTGAGTGATACCTACATGAAAAAAGGATGGTAAAAAAAAAATAGTAGTGAGGAAAAAAAAATTACACTTGTGGATATTTAGCAGTCAGGTTTTCAATATCAGAAATGCCTCTAGGATCCTGGAGAGACCATCTAAGACGTGAACACTGAGAGCAGTATACTTGTTAATTAATGAAACAAAATACAGCAGCCTTCTTCTCACAATCTTAAATCTGAGGTTACAAATACTTTTCAAATACTGAATTGATTATTTTAACGCAAAGGCAATACTGTACTGCAATACAGTTTTATAGGCAAAATTCCAACCCATAGCCAAAATGCAATTCAAAATAAAACTTCTGTTTAAGACATTCTTTTCCTGTTTTTAAAAGTGGTGTTGGAAGCACTTACTCATTTTTTAATGTCTTCATGTTCCAAAGCTGAAGGTAACCGTCAGAGAACCCGACTGCCAGCTGGTTTGTCCTTGTTATGTACTGAAGCGCTGTGGCACTGGTTCCTGTCGGGCTGAGTAACTGGAGGCACAGGTGCCTGCCTTGGTTGGTTACGCGCTCTCGAATACGAGGGATCTCCGATGGGGATTTGTGAATCACTTCGAGATCTATGGAGAGAGACATGTAGACATATACAGTACCTTGCAAAAGTATTCTCCTCCTGTTTACGTTAGCCCACATTGGTAAATCATAAGTTACAGAAACATTTCTTAAAGCGAATATTCTTAAAATATCAATTAACATGTTTATGTGTGAAAAATAATGCACGTTACGCTCTAGGAACAATCAATAGTCATACTTCCCCTTTCATTTCATCTAAAATTAGTTACTTTTAGATATTTACATATAAATGGATTTTGACAACTTTGACATCACTGCAAAAATTATGTGAATTCCTTGGTTTAAGAGACTGATTCTGGAAACTGTTCTGTAAATTGAGTTTTACCCAAGTCTTGTTCTATGCATGTTTTTTTTTTACATTGATGGTAGACGTTTCTTGTACTACTCTATGCACTGCTTATATCATGAACATATTCTGTAATATAACGAATGCACTGCTGTCTGCGTTAAAATAGAAATCCCCAAAGGATTAAACTACATCTGTAAATAAACAAAATGGGTTAAACAGGAGAGTAAATTATTTAAGGAAGCACTAACCTGTCATAATAACAAAATCAGCATGGGAATTACTTAATAAATGCTGGTTAATTTAATTGGCATTACACAAAGACAAATTTGTCAAAGTCAAGTGTGACATAACCCGGAGAGTGCCCTTTGTTTCCTTTTCCCCATGATGTAACTACCTCCACATCCACCTAAAATCAATCCATTCAAGCAAACAAACATATCAGCACCATACCTGAAGCTTCTAGCTCACTTTGACTGCAGGATAAATCATCCAAACACAGATCGATTAGTAACACATGTCCCACATCAGTTACCACTGCAGCAACCCCAAAGAACCAGCGCAGACTCTGGTGTAAGTGCTGAGTACTGGTACTAGCACCACCATAACTTATCAGGGGTTCAATTGCTGTTATCTGCATTGAGGAAAAAAAAAAACATGTTAAGGTTTGTAGACGTAGAAACTCTTATTAAAAACACCCTAAGGAGTTAAAACAATACAAAACAGTTAAGAGCTACAAGAAAAGTTAGTAAGTATTTGACATATATAATTACAACTGGCGATCACTATCACCATTCAAGTTAAAAAAAAATGTACTGTCAGTTTACAGGTTTTTGCTCTAATAGTGAATCTCTGCAACCTTTATGGCACAATCTTCAAATTAAAACTAGTAAAAAAACTGTGTCTTAGTGAAACTAATTGAAATACTAAAAAAAAAAAAAGACTCAGAAAGGGTCAGAAGGCTTGAAGGATCACTACCATTTACGTTACAGAAGGCGCCAAATAAAAACACTCACTCTTCCAGGCACAACCACTGCTTTCACCACCCGTGAGATTCCCAGATCATACAGGCACAGCATGCTCCCCGCCGCATCCTCCAGGCCCACCAGGAGACCAGTCCTCTTCAGCCAGCAGAACTCCTTGGCTGTCAGGACATTGGGGGTGTTCTCGCCAATGCTGCTGAAACGGTAGGCAGACAGCCTCTCCCCCGTGGTGGAGCTGACCACCTCCAGCTGAGGACCACACGCCAGCCAGGCCACCCCGTTCCTCCCTGGAATTCAAAACCAGCTGGCACTTAAGGAGATCCAAAACACACGCAAGTGCCATTCTTTAAACTACAACTGTACGCAGACCTCCATCACTTGAGATTTTATGCTTGCGAGTCTTCGATTAAAATTAAGCTAGGAAGTCAAAAAATTAAGAGTCTCATACCCGCGGCAAACCTCCCGTGTAAAATGGAATCCAGTTTGATCTCATCTTCCCCGAGTGCTTCTATCGTCACTTCTGGAAATCTTAGCAGACTGCTGGTTACCTGAGCCGCAAGGTCACGCATGCTTATTCTGTAGAATACAAATGAAAGTCAGTAGTTTCTTTCTGCCCACTTTTTTTTTACATCGAAGACAAGGAAGTGTTTAAAATACAAACATCACCTTAAAAACGTCCCTAATTAAGATAAAACTACACAACAAATCCCATTTACGTAACAGGAACATCGAAAAACCTGTGCATTTTTGCCATTTTTATCCCCCTTGACCAATCTGCTGTGTCAATTTAATGACCCAGAAACAAATTAACATAAAAACAAAGTTGACATAACAGTGGTTAGGGGTCCACAACTGTAATTGGAAAGTTTGGTGTTGAAATCCCAGACAGGACATTGCCATTATATTCTTAAGGATTGTACTTTACCCAAATTGCTCCAGTAAAATACCCAACTGTATAAATATTACAAATGTAAGCTACTTTAGATAAAAGTGTCAGCCTAATTCGTTATTTCAGGTTACAGTCCGGATGTTGTTTAGATGCTTCTCAAATTTTATAAGCGAGAGGATTAAAGGGTATTGAAAAAAGAAAGCAGATTCATTTGTGTAAGTTAAAAACTAGAACATACCAAAAGGCTCGAATCCAGTGTGCATGTGTCTGAACAGTATTTTGCAAACTGTGTCTGCAATAAAAATTAAAGATGACCTCTTGTAATTTTCGTTAAAATTTGTTTGATCTATAACTATCAAGGGCAGCAGAGCAGTACTGTGGTTAGCCTCGCAAAACTGGGGTCCTGGGTTCTTCCTGGGGGCCCTATCTACGTGTACTAGCAAGCTAATGGGAAAAATGGGACTGGCGTGTTTGTGTGCCCCGAAATGAACTGGCATCCCATCCAGGGTGTATCCTGCCTTGCGCCTTTAGTTTGTCGGGATAGGCTCCGGCTCTCCCGTGAACCTGTACTGGATCAAGTGGTTAGAAAATGGATGGATCGATAGAGTGCTACATCACCTGTAAAATAAAATTTCTCTAGTATAACATAATTCAGAAACCTTTCAGTGTAGTTTTCCACTAGACGTTTAGTACCAGGACTTTTCTGTGGACCCTCCCCCAAAACAATTCACGATTTCCACATATTTAAAAAGCCAGCTGGAGTGGTGGTAGAGCTGCATTATTGTGTCGTAAGCACTGCAGCCAGGTAGTGTTGCACTGGACTAAACTCATCCAAGGTTGTGGGGGAGCCAGATCTTAGGGAGAAACGGGCACAAGGCAGGACACACCCTGGACAAGAGGATGCCAGGGAGAACATACAAACTCCATGCAGATAGCTCACCAGCTCTGGAATTGAATCCAGGGCCCTAGGGCTTCCAGACACCTGCTGGAGCTTTTATTACACCCACTGGAGTGTGTACTGACTGCAACAGTGATCACAACACGGCCCCCAGATAGGCTTTCCATAGAATGAAAATGTTTAGCCTGCAGTTCTATAAACTCATGGATTAGGTAGAAAACCGATGATCACACGTTTTTCACTGGGTTAATTTACAGATCCTTGGGGAAGAAGCATTTAGTACAGGATAAGTATTTTAGAACACAATGCCTTGTTTCTGGGCTACCTTAACATCTGCATTCCGCTTAATATTAAGGTTGCCATGATCATGGAAAAAAAAAGTTAAATTTGTGCGGTGGAGTTCACACTGCTATCTGCAATAATCTAATCAGTAAACTAAATTGCTTTTCTACAAACTTACTTACTTTTCCCCCAAAGGGGAGACAAAGAGAGATGTGCTCAAATCACTCTAAGTTATATATATATACACACACACACATCATATATAATACCCAGTTAGAATTATATGATAAATTACCACGTATAAAGATTTTAGAACCGTTATATCTTAAAGGTACAGTCTATTATTTACATTATTTAAAAGTGAGGTTTGGAAGTGTGAAGCTAGCACTTTCTCTAACCCTAATTTGAATTTGGTTAACATAAAGCAGTAAGTAATTATATAAAGTTGTGCATGCATTCTTATGGTTTTTTCCAAAATCTATACGTTTCTTAAGTGATTTCATACCGGATAGTGCACTGAGGGGGTACAACAATGTTCATTTAAACAAGAGGAGATTCTCAAGGAACCATTAAAATAATCAGAACAGCCGAACCTTTTGGAAGACCATGCTGTTTTGTAATAAATGAAGACTACATCTGTCTCACTAAAAGGGGAAATGCTGAAGCCATGCTCTTTCAAGGATCGGGAACAATCCCGGGAATGTGAAAAGGCTACTGTACCTCTGCAACAGAAAACGAAAGAGAATGGAAAAACCCGATCATTTTGGAGAGAAAAACAGCCAGCTACAACAGGTCTGTGTAAGGCAACAGGTCGTTCACAACGCGGCCTTCAAACAAGTCTGATTGGGGATAACAATGTTCCAAGTACCCCGTCGTTGTGAAACGGATAAGCAACATCACGACTGGACCAGGTCACGGAAGACCTGCGACTCTAAGGGAACCACAGGCGTGGGTTATACCCCGCACCATGTTCGGGCCTACGGGGTGCGCGGTCCTTCCTACGCTTGGGGCAGGCGAGAGGCAGAGGAAGACGGGACTCGGGGCACTACAATGCCGACCTTGCTCCGCCTCATGTCCGAGGAGCCACCCGACTGACCACGAGGAGCCCACACTTCAATTAAACCGCTAGAGGAAACTGCAGCGCATCGCACTTCCGTCCACGTCTGGGAGGGGGGCGGCGGCGGGGGCACGGAGCGAAACTCCAGGGCAAACGCGTTTGAGCGGACCACGCTTGGATCCGCCAAGAACACACGGACGTGCGAGCAGAAGGAGGAGATTGCGGCTTTGCAATTCGAAACAGATCAAATAAAAATAAGAACCGCTCCCTCTCCCCCCCTTCGCAGCAACAACACGCGAGTTTCCAATCTGGGTTTCGCAAAGCCACACCAACCTCCCATCCTGGTAGTATACCGACCACAACACAATCATAACAAAATAAAGCAAACGGTGTCCGTATCAGTGAGTTTAAGGGATATCTACAACGAGTTCTGATCCTGAGGTCCAACCGCTGAAGACCACATTTCTACCTACCTGTCTCCGTCTCTAACAAGCCGGTGATAAATATTGTCTCCTCTTCGGAGTGCCCTGCTGTCATAATCCAATACCCTAACGAATAGCGCCTCTGTGTCCTTACAACGACGGCCAAATAAAGACTTAAACCCTGTAAAATCTGTGCTCCACTACGTGCCTATATGCTCCGCTCACAAATCTCCAGTCTATACAGAGTTGAACACAGGCGCCATTTCTGCAGCCTCCCGGACTAGTGCGCATTAATTTGCTTTTCAACATCCCGTCGCTATCGGGTCAAATCTCGCGAGAGCACCTACAAGCGGATACCAACCACAGGGCAAGAACCAACATGGCGTCCGTGAGAATGAGCGGGAATTTTAAAAATCATCGCCGCTCCACTGCAAGGAGGGAGGGGTGAGAAATGCACACTTTGCGAGGATCAGATTGTTTTTAATCCATAAATACTGATTGTCGAAGTTGTTCTTCCTGCAGTTCTACGATTATTTAAAATACGTTGCAAAAAACAACTTTTACTGTTAGATTTGTCATCATCCATAAAGCGAATGAATTCGTCAGAACAGCATTGATTCAGCCAAATAAATCTAACCTTTAAACCAATTGTGGCATACGGTCATGTTATTAGTAATCTTCTTGGCCGAAAGTTCTACATTACAGAAGTTGAATCAATATGGCGATAATGTAAGGGGTGGGTTGTCTTATGTAAAACAGGGAATAACAGCTATATAAGATCAGAAAAGCAAGGTATTTATTTGCAAAAGTTAAATATTTTTGTTAAATATCAAGCCACTGAACATTAGTTATCATTAAGTTAAGATTTAACTTTAAATACACACAATGGCCAAAGTCTGGATCTTAAGGAAAAGGGTAAATTGAGTTGATTAATTTAGGAATTTAAAAACGGACTATTTAAATGAAAATAATCAGAATAAGTGCCTTCCTGTTACAGGTTTTCTGGATGACTTGCATAGAACTGAATATGTGTTACACCTGATGGATGTTTATTCCACTACTAATGTTTGAATTGGTAAAATAGTTAACATTTACATTTTAGTTATTCTTTTCTGTGAATATCTGTGTTGCATATTGTACAAGTTTGATGGATTCTGTTACCTCATTAATAAAAATAAAAAAGTATTAACAATAAACATTTTCTTTTCATTTTTTTCCTAATCATTAAGTATGCATATTTGTGTGCTTATTTACAGTCTGACACAGAAAACAAAATAAATCATTGTTGTATTTTATGTTTTCCCAGACATTGCATACTAATGTCTAAAAAAGACATCCTACAGATAATAATTTTTCTAACCCTGGTCTATTAATCTTGTTTTATTAATTTAGAATTGTTCAATTATCAGTATACTTCTTATAATAGACAAGTGGTCATGCATCGGTGTTTATTCCTGGTCCTGGATGGCACGTATGTCTAAAAAGGTTCTTTAGGTCTCTTAAAGCAGTATCACCTGATGAGGAACAAGTAAAGGTTTATTCCATGCTGAAAAGAAACAATGTTTCGGCTGTGGAGCCTTCTTCGGGTGTGATCACTAATAAACCTTTACGTGTTCTTTTGTTCCTTGTTTTGCTGGGGCAGCTACCTGCTTGAACTATCACCCGAAGAGCTGGGATGAATGGTTGTATAGGTCAAATTAACCAAATAATGAACTGGGCTGTAATGCACTTATGCTGACACGCTGTCCCTTCTCTATTTTTCTTTTATTTGCTGGATGTTATAAATGAACATATGGCTTAAATTTACAGTTTGAATGCTTGAGAACATTTCAAATGAATACAGAAAAAGGTTAGAGTAAAATGTAGTTGCATTCATATGGTATCACATATTATCTGTCACTATTCAAAAACACAAGTGAGAACAGCTGTTCAATACGTGTTTGTTGGCCTCTTGCGAAATCGAATCTGCTGCCAGAACTGAGCACTTCATTTACTGTGTAGTCACTATTCAGGCCACTAGAGTGCGCCCTCAAACTATACAACAGTTCTTCGTGCTTTTCAGAAATTTACAGCAATTACAGCTTATAAAAAGTACAGAGATGTTCAGTATTCCCAATACTTTTTAGAACGGAATTCTTAACGGTAATATTATCAACAGTATTCTGTTATTGTGCTTTAAGATACTTTTAATTACGTTAGGTTTAGCAAAACAGTAATTTAAATATATACTAAAAGAAGACAAAAGCTGCCTCAAAGTGTTTAAACATTTTTGTTTTAAAGGTTCCATTTTATTTTTGTTATGAAATTATCACTTAACTATTTATCACCATTAGCAAATTAATACTATAAAGGACTGAGATCTGCAAACAAAAGTGTGCAGGAGCTTTCCCTTTCTTCCTTAATTTTTAAATATTTTTACCCTATGCACCTGCACCACTGTATGCTCCCTCAAAAGAAACATCTGCAATGCTGTAACATGAATGTATTTCGTCCCATTTGGATATAGATAAACTACACCTATTTGAATCAAGACGTACTGTATAAAGGAATACTGTATGTAAATACCGTAAGTCAATATTGTACTCTTGTCAGATAGCAATCTTTTTCCAGTTAATTTTTGTGCAGAAAAATAATCACTGGGATGACAGACTCATATATCGTGCATTCAGACAGTCCACAGTGTTCGCTTCAGGAAGTGTGAGCACCATTTGTTACTGTGATCTTAATTTGTCAGCAAAATGTATGCCCTTCAGTTTAAAACTAAAAAATGAGCGCAGTTAGAAAGATCTTACTGTGGATGTTCATTCACAATGAGATGCAGATATTTTTTAAAACAATTCAT